ACTAGTGTTGATATTACTACCATTTAACCACCATTAAATTGTAAATTCAATGTATCGCCTTTAAATGGATTATCATTTTAGACGACCTTCAAATTACAAATTTCAAGTTGTGTTGATTAAAATAATCCGATCTATTACAAATTTATATTATATTATAATTCTACCCAATATATGTAAGATATCCTTATGAATTCTTAAATGAATGCAGACCTTATTATTGATTATTAAACAATCAACACTTATTCCACAATACTGCCTAAATCAACTAATTCACATTCAATAATTATCGCAATTATTAAAAATTAATTAGGTGCTCAAACTAATTTAACTTGTTCTGTCATCATTGGAGAGGATTCAAATGAAATAAGCGAGAAATTATTGCAATTTGAGTCTGAAACCAGCACGAACTAACCTAAGTCATTATAGTTGAATAGAAGATTCCTCTATGATGATTTTGAAAGTAATTTAACAGATTTATACTATTAATCAAAAGATTTAAATATAAACTAACGTCTATCCTTGTTGAATATTCTTACTATAGGAATTGAGTAATACGCAACTCCATCTTATCCTATGGATAGTATGAGATCGATTTTATACTTTGATACATAAGCTAAGTTAGATTTACCACTTATAACAGAAGCTACAAAAATGCAGATAAAAAAGGCAAATAAAAGAATAATAATAAATAATACTAATTATTTATAAGATTTCAATTAAATTTAAGTTTATTTAACGAATCTAAATTCAAGCTTATCGAGAAGTATTGATAATGTTTTATTCATCATTAATTCTATCTCTCAAAATCAGGCTGGATACAGAGATTATTAATAGAAGGAAATTGAAAAAAGTAATATGATATATCAATTGTCTGCTCTTGATTACTTACTCAAATCTTAATCTAATTTTTACTATGATTATTTTAATGGAAACATTTCATTATTAAATGAGACTATGTATAAAAGTATTTCTAGTAATTTTGAGTCCATTTTAAGTTTGTTATAAAAGCTAAAATATGGATTATTGTTGGCCTAATAAGTTAATGATGTTCCCATTAAATTTTCAGGGTCTTCCTTTACTCTAATCTTTAATCGGCTAACAACAGAAAAGATGAATGAATATTTAAGTGAAATAGAATTTGTAAAAATTGTTGATAAACCAATAGACAACAGTACTCAAATCTCCTAAAGCTTATTGCTAAATTTCAGTTATTGTCATTACTTAGAAAATCCCTTTCTCTTAAATCCCTCATTTCCTAATAACACTCATTTTACAACTATTTAATCTATAGAGCCTACTCTACAAAATGGTAGTCTATTAACCCCTACATAACCAATTACAACCAAATACAATGTCACTTTACTTAGACCGAAGAGGTTACTTCAGTAATATCAAGATCTATATCTTATGGACGAATAACCAAATTATGTGGATTTTGTTTGCACAAACAAGTATTTCGCCTAATGGGAATCTAATGTTTGCAAAACTTCAATAGAAATTGATGTATATTCCTCTTTGCTTATCGCATGTGATTGCTAATAATTTGGTCCCACTACTATTAGCAGTGTGTTAGCTGATATATTGGAGATTGATAAATTTTCCAAATCTTTTTCTTTAGAGGCTATTGACGCTCTTAATTAATTTCCATTCCATCGTTCTGTAATATTTTATTGTTTAGTAATTTGTACTATCATATTGATCGTCTTGTTGCCTTATGGAATAAAAAAGGATTAGATAGATAAGGAAAGAGCTATGCCTCAACATATGATTGAATCAGAATATATAAGAAAGATGTTTGAGGATCGTTAGAAGGAATTGTAAAAAGAAATGGAAAAAATAAAGGAGGAAAGACACAAGGAATGGAAAGAATTTCATGAAAAATAAAATCTAATTCAAATTGTTATTGACGAAAAAGAACAAAAGTAATTATCTTTGGATAAGGACGAATAAATTTAGGAAGTTATTATTTCCCCAGATGTAGACCCAGATGAAATGATAGACTAACAATAATTAGAATAAAGTGACAATAGTAATAATATCAATTTGGACATAAGTCATGACAGTGATGAGGACTTTTAATTAGAAGAATATCCGCCAATCAATATATCTAAAAAGAAAAATAAAATGCCAGCACCTTCACCTTATGCTAAATTCTTTTAATTAAAAAATGCATTCTCCTTGAACAATACAATTGTCAATAGACTATATTTACATAGTTCTTTATATGAAGAGAGCCTGTAAAATCAATAAAACTAAAATTAAAAGAATCTCATTCATGAAAGACATAGTTCAAGAATTTAATCAGATTAATTTTCAGTCCGAAATTCTGAAAATACCTAATAGATTATACTAAAAAAGAGCTCCACTAATTAATCTAAATATTATAATAACTCTGTTAACAGCTAAGCTAAAATAAATGATTATCCTCCCTTATCACCAAATTCAGTTAGTCCAATCGTGGGACTTTATGATTCTAACTAAATTCTCTAGCCAAATCAATTGGGTTAATCTGGATCACAATTGGAATCTCATAATCACAGCACTAAAACTGCTAAATATTAAATTCCGTATAGAAAATCTCAAGAACATATTTTATTTTTAGACCATGAATTTTATGAAGAGGATAATCTTTCAATAGAGGAAAAAGAGAAAGTTATTTAAATTTGGTACTTAGAAAAAAAAAGAAATAAATTATTGGAAGAAGGGTTTAAATTAAGATTTACATTAAAGAATCTATTCTTGTTTTTAAGCTTGTTCCAATCCCTTCTCAGCATTATTGCAATCTTTGATAAAAAATTACCTAGGCCAATTAGGTTTTGTTTAATTTACATGACCATCTTAACTACATGCTATATTAACATATTCTTTGAAGTCGAATTGAATCCAGCAACAACCATTGCATATAGCATTCTATCATCTATATTATCAATGTTAGAATTAATAATCCTCACAATTTTAATGCCTCATTAATACATAATATTTAGAATTATTGGCTGGCTAGGCTTTTTAGCATTAACAGGGCTATTCAGTTTTTTAATAATTGTATCTATGGCATTTGAAGCCTAAGACTCTGGTGGTGATGTAACAAGATCTAATTAATGGGGAATCAATTTCATTATAAGCTTCATTACAATGAATTTTATTACAGACCCTGTTTAATTGATTTTTTGTTTCAAAATAATTCAATTGAGTTTCAATCATGCATCCCCTCAGTTACAATAATTATTTATTATGCTCTGCATGAGTAAACATTTTAATATTTACTTCGATTTCATAGATTATTGAATTGTATGTAAATTTATATTAAACATATTTGTTGTATTTAGTCTTGACTTAACAATTTAATTATAAAATATTTATTAACAAATAAATAAATTATGGACCTATTAATAGATAAGGTAATCAATAACAAATAGAGCAATTTGTAGTTACAAGATTACATAAAATTTGAATAAAAATTCATTAAATAGTTGAATTCTAAAATGAGATGATTCTTCAAATTTGGAATTGGTTAAGGTAAGAAAGTTATCACCTCAAATAATGGAATGGAAAAACCAATATCATATATTCTTTGCATATCTAATGATCTTATTTAGTCATCTTTTGAAATGCTCAAAATTCTTAATACATGTTTATTTTTAATCTCAATATGATTGAAAGTTTGAGGAAATAGAAACGAATTCTCTTCATTATTATCATTAGGTATATTTGAAAAAGAAATTAAGTAATAATTGAAATGGGATTCATTAATGAAATTTAATTGGAAGACCTCCAATACAAATAGACCTTGCTATGGCAAAATATAGATCATAGATTGTTAATTAGTTGATTCAAGTAAAAATAAGAAGTAATCTCAATCATTAAACTTAAAATTTATAGGACAAATCAATACTCTTCCAATGCATAATTATAATTATATAATAATTTTAATGAAGGTAACTAAAGCTAAATTAACTTTGCAACAATTGTAATATATATTTTGCTTCTAATTGCATTGAATTTTGTCTAATGTTAATAATATTTAATTATTCGAAAATGTTCACAAATTATTTGTATATTCTATAATAAATGTGGTACATTATTAATCATCTTAAAACTGAAACCTTAATCAGCATGCACCAAATGTTAAAACATGATATTTTTATGATTGTGTATATTATATAATTATCATTCAGATTATTTCAATGTTATTCTCTGAGTTCATTTATTTGTGATCTAATCTTCAATAAAGTTGATTCACAATATTATCTAACTTGCTCACCATGATTGTGTGAATGAGGTTCATTATATTCTCCCTATTGAGGATATTATTATTATTCTCACATAATTAAATTGTATATCGCTATTATAATAGCTGATAATTCCTACTCCAAAATATCCAACGATTACTCCTCCAACCATGTGGGGTTAGCTTACTACACCCCTCTTGATGAATCTCCATAATTAATACATATTTTTTAATAAAAATAATAATAATATATATACATACAATAATAATTAAGTATTCTTAATCTAAGTGTTTCAATGATTATTCAATGTTAGAATAGGCATTTCCACTATGAATAACACTCTCATATTGATTCTCATTTTTCAGGATGATCATTAGGTTGAACCAATTAGGATATTAAATATATGATAAAAATGATTTCGTTTGTTTAATTTAGAACGAGCTCAGCTTCCGGAATAGGAGCCTTGCCCGCAACCTATTAAATAGGTTTAAACTTGGATAGGTTTGGTAACATTGCTGAATCTTGCGATTGAAGTTAATTTCTCATAAAAATCTCTTTAATACTAAATTATTAATTTTATTTTTATGGGTTTTTACAAATTTCTTTGAAATATTAAATTAACATCATCTCTTTGTTTAAAATTGTTTTATAACTGTATAACTGCTGTCAATTAGTTTTAAGAATATATAAAAGGAAATAAACAATATATAAATATTTAATGATGTTTCAGTATTTCAATAAAATTACAAATAGTTAAATTAGAAGAATATTTCATCTACGTAATATTTTCCATATGGTTTCTCTTTAGGATGGAGGTGTCATTTTTAAGGTTATATGAGCCTTTCTTGCTTGTGCAATCAACTACACAAACGAGGGATTGTACTCCATACACAATTAATTATAGTTTACTGCTGTTGTTGACCAGGGATCAGCCTTCTTATCTAAAATATACTTCACAATTTTTGGATTTCCTCCAATGATTGCAAAATAAAGTGTTGGCCTTCCAATGATATCCTGAAATTCAATATCTGCCCCATTTTCAACTAAAAGTTTAACAATCTCAAAGTGTCCTCTCTTACAAGCCCAATGTAAAGCCGTCATGTAAATCTATAAGTGTTTTCAATCACGCTTACATAATCGAAATCGTAAACCAAATATTTGTTATCTTTAATAAACTCTTTGACTTCCCATTCTTTTCCTTACTTTGCAGCCTATATAAATTCATAAGAATGCTCCTTTTAGAACGGTTTTTGACTTATCACTTGATCACTGAATGCCTAATAAATATCCAAATTTAATCTACTGATATATTAGAGAGTTTTTTTTAACTCATGTTAAATTTTTTTGAAATCAATTTTTCTTCTCATAATGTCCTAAGTTATCGTTACGATTCGATCTGAATTATAAAATTCCAACATTTCATCGAAGACTCCCATATCTTGAACTTCCATCTCTTTTTTAGGTTTCTTTGTATCAGTATTAATTTACTGTGTTACTAAATTAACTTAGCATTCTCTTTCTGTGAAGCATCCGTTTTATTATAAGATTTCTTAAGACACATTTTTGCTTTTCAATCTTAATCTTAATAACTAAGGTCTGGGCTTACTTTATTATTACAAAGATGATTGAGGAATTTCGACAGCTTTCCTTTTTGGTTTGATGTGAGTTTTGCTATTACTCCTTGAATGAAAATTTTTGTAATCAATTGCTTATGGATTTTAAGTTCCTTTAAACAATTTGCTTATTTTTATTTTTTCATTTGTACAATATGATTTCACCCATAATGACCCATCTCTTTCCCTTTCAAGATTTCTAAACTCCCTACAAGTCTATTTGATTTATCTAAATATTTCCCTTTTTAGTTCTTAGGGTTTTTAAATTAGCTCTAGCTTTTTTATTTCCTCCTTAAAATCCATTTGTTTTGAAGGCTAACTTAATATATCTGAAACAGCCCTGGACTTTCTAATTTTTTATTCAGAAGCTGTTCTATTGAACACAAGTTGCTAGCTTAATTTATACACTTTTAATGTGGGTCTTTCATAGTCGAACTCATATACTTTTGGAGTAAATTGCATTATTAATTTACAAAAATTCAATTATAGACAATTATTCTTATTCAAACAGATAATTAATTTTTGTTGTTGCCTATTTGAATCACATATATGATTAATATGTAAATCACATCAGTTTCATCTGAATCAAATTAAAATACATTTATATTAATGAATTGCGATAAACTGTGATTAAATCTTAAAAAAGTAAACTGTTTAAGCTTTAAATATAAAGATTTAGTTTAAAAGGTTTAAAACCATTTATATTCAAGTCCACAGTAGAAGTAGCTTAAGATTCTTATGACTTAAGGCTATGATTTTGTTTTGGTTTTAATTATATTAAAAGATTTAGGATTTGATCTTTTTTCGCATAAAATAAATTCATGTAAGTTTTGCACTTTTTATATTCATAAGAAAAGTATGAAATGATTTATTTGATAATTTATTTGATTTTATAGCATTAAACTTTAAGTTAATTTATTATGTAAATTCCATAAAGTCATTCTAATTCCAGGTTTTCTAATGCGCTCAGGATAGCATGCTACCATAACTGAGAGACTATGGATCATCATATTTGTTTATACAGAAATGAGTTGGTAAATTGGTGTTTATCAAGATCTTTGCTTAAATTTACTTGAGTTTTAGTATTGTATTAATTTATTGAAGAATCTCTAAATTAATATAAGTAGTCGTATATTGAAGTAGTTTATGTTTTGAATATGTAAATATATAAAATAACTATAATGAATTCATAATAATTGTTCAACTAGATATTCAACAAACATGCGAGCATTTGAAAGTAATTTTGTATGGGAGATAATTTGTGTGATTAAATTGCCTTTTTCTTCATCGAGCTGATCACTTATTATTTTTTGTTATTCACACAAATTTTCATATGAATCCTATTGAACACTTAAATGTTTGTAGTTTCTAAATATAAATTAAACAAATACTATCCCAAGACTTCCCACCTATAGCGAAGATATTTGTAGTATCTGTTCTTTACCATGGCCAAAGTTTTTCCTGGAAAGTGTTTATGAATTTTTTAAAACTTAGGTCCGACATTTAGAACTAACTGTAGAATTAGCTTATCTTCATCTGATGTGAATTTTTAACCTAATTTCTTGGTGTTGGAAGCATCAGAACTTCTCCTTTTTTTCCTGTGATAGTCATATTTGTTTTTTTTTTTAATTTTCTTAGGCTAGTCATTATTATTTATTTATGGATCCTCTAATAAATGACAATGCATAATTTAAATTATTAATTATATAATATTGAATTAAATATCATTCCATTCCAAATTATCCATCCATATCAGCCTGTATTACTGCTTTCAAATAGGATTCGATCTCTTCTCTAGTTTCATACATTGGTAGTTCTAATCTATTAAAACAAGTATGTGCTTTTGGGTAAGGATTAGCCTTTGTATATGGTACACTTTCTATACAAAACTTAGAACAGTTTCCCCTATTGCTTTCTAGTTTTCTGAATCCCTCTACCGGAGTTCGAGTTGATCCAGTACAAAATTATAAGAATTTGGCAAGATTAAATTAATCAAGCTGCTCCAAGATTTCCCAAAACCATTGTATCGTTTAGTGAGTTCTGTAGTAAGCTCCCTTATAATCAGTATTATCTTTCCAGTCATTAATATCAATGAAAGGAGTTCCATAAAGGATCATTTCCAATTCCAAAGGTTCAAGTAAGCTAAGAAGTTATTTTGGAATTATCTAAACATTAATCACTAATTTAATACACTATATAAAGTTGATAAAAAAGCAGTCAAAAACGGCTTAACTGATATATTTGTATAATAATCAATGCTAAATTTTCTTATATAATTACCACAGATTAACGTATTCTTAACAATTATCCATGTCCAACTAAATAGTTTATCCCCCCTTTTTTAATTCGTAGTAATCTCCTTTACTTTTTCTGTAAATAACAAAAAACTCAGAGATATCATCTGCTTCAAACTTATTATTTACTAAAAAATCCCAAGATTAATATAACTAAAATCTTTAAAATTTAGTACTTAACGATCATAATAATAAATATCCTCCAAAAATATAGACTAACCAATTATGTGTTTGATGATTGATCTATCAAAATAGATATTTAAAGGAATCCTCTCGAAAATGCATTTACCCACAACAATCCCTAATAATTTAAAACAATCTATAATATGCTCATCAGTATCTGCTTCACAATTGATTTTATAAGATACATCCTCGCAATCAGCTAATTAAAACATACCTGATTCTGGGTGTACAATTTCTTTCATTATTAAATTGGCCCATTCTCTTAATAAACCACCAGCATCCAATACTTTATCACCGTCTATATGAACCTTGACCTCCTTGTGCCAATTAATCTCTTTGTACATATTCAAAGTCGTCATTAAGAAACTCTCTTTGTTTACAGACAATGTTTCAGCTCCTTATTACCAAGGTATTCTTTTTTTCTCCAATTACAATCGAAACCATGTTTGTTTGATTGGAAATTCAGAATTTTTAATCTGAACCCAAGGCAAGGCTAGCATTTCAGAAACATTGGCTGCTGGCATAGGAGGGGATAACTGAGATAAAATATTGTTTGAGTTACTTTCTTGTTCCATTTGTATTTGATCTTGGAGCCAGGTAATAATTCTTTGCACCAATAATATTTTTATTTTCTATTTTGAAAATCATCCTATATATAATGAGGCTTAAAATTATAATAATAATCTTAGTACGGTGGTTCTTGGATTTGGATTTGGATTAGGAATATGATGATGGTTCGGTTCGATAACTACATCTCCAACTTACAAATTTCGAGATTAAACAGGTTGATTTTAAATTGGTCTAACTCTGCAATTCGTAACATGTTATTAATACTTTTTTACGATAATATTCTTACCAGAAGAGCACTTGATTGTGCTTAAAATACTAAATGGCATTTTGGACATTATTGATTTTATTATAACTAGGTTTAGTTTCTTTTTAAGCAATTTCCCATATGAACTTATTAATTTTTATATAATATAATAATCAATTCTAATTCTATCTTATTTCCTTAATTTTCAATCCATTTAACTCAATAACTCAGTTACTTGATCAGATCCATCTTTATTTCCCCAATAAACCATTATCAATTATTTCACTCAATCAAATCTGCTGATTTATCTATTTAAATTAAAAATAAATTAATTTATTCACAATATATTATTCCAAATACCCAAAAGTATCATAATTTGTTTATTATTTAATTATTAATAGAATTCAATGAGTTACAAGGTCACTTCTTCAGGTATGGCATAGAGAAATGCAGATAAAAAACTCTCCACTGCAACAATGAGTTAAGTTTAAACACAAGCTCTCTAAAATTCATCAGCTGTTTTAAGCAAAAAAGTAAATAATAAATATATTTTTAAGTCAATTCCAGAATAATAATCACCCTTAAAAGTTTAGGCATAATCTTAAGAAAATTTTTAATAGATTATTACAAATGAAGTATTAGAAAAAATATAAGGAGAATTAAGTAAAATCAATAAATTAGAAGATTTATACAATTCATTAAAGTAAGAGAATTAAGAAATAAAACTCTAAATAAAGTAATAAGAGTAGAGAATATAAGAATAAGATATCAAGATTCAGGAGTAATAAAAGAAAATACAAACTTAAGAAGAAAAAATACAAACCTAAGCAGAGAAGATACAAACCTAAGCAGAGAAGATACAAACTTAAGAAGAGAAAATACAAATTTAAGAGGAGAAAACACAAAGCCAAGCATAAAATTAATAAAATTCTGGAATTTTAGAACATATAAATACATTTATTTCCAATAATAATCATGCTCATGATATTTGGAAAAAGGCATAAGAGAATATATAAAAAAAGTAAGAATATCTAGAAAATGAGACTAAATAAATTGAAGGAAAAGTAACAGAATATTTAAACAACTTGTCTTAAGCAGTGAATGAGCATTTCAACAATATCTCTAAATAAGTAAAAGATGAGCTTAGAGTCTATTAAGAATAAGTAGGTTAGACGCGATAGTAGGCAAATTTAAACCTAAACAATTTATCTTAGCATGAAAATACATTAAATTAATTCTGTTAAAAAATTCAGAATTATTTTGGAAATTAGGGTCCTCAGATGTAAAACTATATAGAGAATAAATATTAATCATTCGACTAATAATAATATTAACAAGTGGATTAATAAATGTATTAATATTCATAATATAATTAATAATAATAGGATTAATAATAATATCAATAATATTCATAATCATAATCATAATACCAACCACAAATGGATTAATTACCATTATCACAGTAGGGAAGCTTTATTAATCCTCCATAATAATAATAATATAACTATAATGCGCCTTTATAAAATGATATGAATGCTTAAATTCCACCGACACAAAATCATTAGGAACCACAAAGCAATGCGCAAGGAAAATCAAAAATTAGATTGATATCTTAATCTTTGCCACAATAATAATGATTCATTATTTTTGAGATATCATATTATTATTACAATTTGAATTTATACAATTTCCTTATTACAAATAATTATAATTTTTTTAATAGAGTTTAGACTAAAAATGTTTAAATAACCTCCATAGTTGCATATAAAATAACAAGAAAAACTAGGAACAAATCATTAGTTTAATTTTAATTCTTTGAGAGACTTGTAGAAGAATACGAATGAAAAAAGAACTTCAAAGTAAAATTTTTAAAGTATATTTGACAATATAATTACTCTATTAAAGGAACTTAGAGTTAGATAATAATAAATCTAATCCTATGTTTAAAATGAAATAATTGATATGAATTAGAAATTAGATCAGGCTTCAAAATAACTATTATTGGCTATTGAACAATATCAATAGGGCGAAAAAGAAGAAAATCATTTAGAGTCCACCTTAAATTCCTCAAAATAACATTTTTTTAACTAATAATCATAAAATCCAACGAACAACAAGGAGATAATACAAATTAAATTATAATAATAAGACTCTCATTCAATATCTTCAAGCTCATCTAAATTTTTCATAAACAAAAATGTTATCGAAAATTCATAAATAAATCAATCATCTCAAAGTTTAATGAAGCCAAATCTAATGCAAATATATACAAAATCTAAGCACGGAGATTTTTTTGATTAAATAACAAACATAAATAAACAAACACAAAATCCAATTAGCGAAAAAACCTAAAATAAAAATAGCAATGTAGGATTTCTTCATAATCTTATCAACTCACAGAAACCTAAAGATACAGCAATTAAGAATAAAACCAATATCACAGAAGAAAATTAAGATAATTCGCTTCTTAAAACTTAATATGCTAATTAGTCAAGTTGCTATTATTGCGGGAAGGCTTTTGATTCTGAATTTATATTAACTCCTTGTTATCATAATTATCATGATCCGTGCTTAAGAGAACATTATGAATTATTATTAAAAGAATATAAGAATTAAAAATAAATAGTTTGTATGTGTAAGATGAAATTGCCATAGCTGTTTATTAGTCGGAGTTTAAAAGTTAATTTGGAGAGCTTACTCTAAAAATAAGTAGAGGTAATAAAAGAGAAAATAAAAAGTTAAATAGACTGGTGTGTAAAATGTAAGTTTTTCTGGATAAGAAGAATGAGTGACACTTATACTAGGTAATGTAAAATGTGTGATTAAAATGGAGTCATCATCATAAAGTCTAAATGATTTATAATATTATATATAGTACCAAATTAATAGACTTTAATCAAAATTAGATAAAAATTAATTAATTATAAATGGGTTCTTTTTTTTCAGGTTTGTCCTCTTAAAAACCAAAAAGTGAAGAAAAATAAAATACCTCGAATAATAAAAAAGAATAATTGTAAACTAATGATGCTTTTATCTCTATGAAACCGACATAATCCATAGGAGAGCATATTTTATAAGATGGAGAGTTCTCATTCAATGAAGATAAATGCAAAGGATAATCATCAAAAATGATAAAAGGACAGACCAATGCAAATAACTACTAATCTCAGGAGGCTATAATTATAGATTAATCAGGTAAGTTGAATAGACACTTTAATGATAACAAGCATAAAATCTTTTGTTATGAGTGCAATTAAATAATAGATGAAACTCTTATTAAAATCATTTGTTAGCATACATTTCATTAGACTTGTTTTATATCAATTATTGAGAACTAATTACAACAAAAAGATAAATTCATAATTAAATGCAAATGTGGAACCAAATTAAACTCAAATATATTAAGATAAATAGTAGATGTTGAAATTAGATCTAAATTACTTTACTAAATATTTTCTGTTCAGGTATTAAAGATATTGTGATGTATCATAAATTTAAATGATGATGGAGTAAAATACAAAGCAAGAAGACTATGACTTTGATTATGCAGAAAAAAATATTATTGAATATTAATTAGATTAAAGTGGTATTTTACACATTAGTCAATAGAAACTATTCATTATAAGTGTCTGTTTATTTTGTGGAAACGAGATATCTTCAAATTTACTGAAATTAAATTGTGGGCATATTTATCATTAGGACTGCTTTATAAATTGGCTATAATTTTAAATCTAAAATAAAAAGAGTTCAATTATTAAGTGCAGATGTGGAACCAAAATGAACACAAATATCATCAGGAGAATTCCAGAAAGTAAAATTAGACTGAAATTATTGAATTCATTATTTTCAGAATAATTAGCTATAATACTTCCGAATTTAAGGAAAATCAATGATTTTGATTAAATATAGGGATTATTCAAGAGCAATCAATATACAGAGGATCATGATTATGTTAGTTCTTCAGGGTTATTATATTTTAGTAATTACTCTACACCAGGAGGAGATTGATGAAATTGAATAATTTAAAAATATAAGATTTCATATCTAAATTTCATTCTTTATAAGAAAAATAAATAGATGTTAAATCTTTATTGTTTTGATTTATTATAATGATATAAATTTTTATTCATGCTGTGAGTTATGAATTATTTTTTTAATTTTTTTCCTTTATTCTGAACATTCTAATGTTCAAGGTGAATCTATTTACAGAAAATAGGGATTTGGAATCATCTGAAAGTAAGACTTATCGTGAGTCGAAATATTTTTGTTAATTCAATACAAATACTCCTGCATGATTCTTAACCCAAACCTTGATATTACTATAGGATCCAGAGACTAAAAGTAAAGAATTATGATTAAAACAAACTGAACGAATATAGTATCCTCCTTCTAGTTATTATATACATGTAAATTTCCCGTTTGGATCATTTAATTGTTGATTCCAAATCTTTATAGTTTAATCTTCTGACCCACTAACAAAAGTATTTTCATTTTAAGCGAAATTGACACAATTCACCAAACTTGTATGTTCTGTTAATGTTTGGAAATGTTCCCAATCTTCATTCAAATTCCAAACACAAATTGATTTATCCCCACTTCCAGAAATTAGGAAAGTAGAATCGTAATTAAAACTTAACGATTTAACCCATTAACTATGCTAGATCAAGACTTGTGAATTAATCCATTTCTCCTCAGCCTCTATCCATATTTTGATATTTCCTTCTTGACAACCTGAAGCCAATAAATTATTTAACTAATTAACGCATAAACAATGAATTTCCATGTTATGAGCTTCATTTATAATTTATTTACAATTATACAACTTATTTTCCTTACTTTATAAATATTCATTCCACACTCTGATAGTTTTATCATCACCTGCTGAAAATATAGTATTATTAATTTTTCCAATACACACTGCATTTATTGCACCCACATGCCCCACAAGAGTCTAAAATTCTTTAAATCCTTCCTCTTTCTTTTGAATCAAAACTAGATTATCTTCATTGTTGTTTCCTTACAAACCACAAACTATTAGAGTAGCAGTTTTATTTAAATCAATACAATGACACACTGAATTCGTGGTTATTTCTTCTTTTATTGTATATAGTCCTTTGCTCTTTGCATCTTCATTTTTATCTTTTTCAGGTGGTTTTTCTGGCTTCGTATTCTTCTTTAGAGACACTTAGCTGAGCAAATTCTCTTGGCTCTGCTGAGTTCCGAGTCTCTGGTGATATTAGGATTTGTAAAAGGCCTTTATGATTGAGGCTATTTTCTAACATTTTTATTAAACTTAGTAAATATTATGCATATCATTAGAGGGGATTTTGGCAACAATTTGATTTTCTTATTCAAAATCATAGTACTTGCTTAATATCTCTTGTAATTTCTCGAAATCCTACTCATTTAATTTATCGTCATAGAGATAATGTTAAATTTGTTTGTCACTTAATTTATGATTTATCAAACTATTAAGACAATCTTCAGTATCATCAAGTAATTCGTCTACCTTTAATTTGATTTCCTTCCTCAAGCTTTCATATTGTTTTTGTAGTTCTTTTATATGATAATTTAATGGATGATCTTAATTTATATCCATGAGCAATTCAGAGGCTTTGTTGATTGCAATCTTGTTGTTTTAAGGGCATTTTTAGCAGAGTAACTTGCTGTTGGAGGATTTGCTTAGAGTTACATATTGAATGCTTTTCTGGTGTTGGGAGCATAGAATTTTGGAAGCCTTTTCCTCTAATTTGATCATTAAAAAGAAATAAATAATTAATCTGAAGAGAATAAATTGAGATTGAATTAATTAATAAAAAACACTAATTTCAGAATCCTTTAACATCGATCACATAGGATCAGACATATGCTTGGTCATCATGATAACAATAAACAAGCAGATTTAATTTATTTATATTAATATATTCCTTTATAATTTTATGGGTGTTATAAATGGTGGTGATATTTTTATATTTATATTTATACACATAAATGGTTTGACTTCAATAAATTAAATCAAATGAGTAATTTGAATGCTGCGAGTCTATATGAAAATCTGCAACAACCTATCAGTCAATACTATGACAAGAGTTCAAATTTGACAAGGGAAGAATATTTTTATAAACTCTCAATATCGACTACATTATACTTGGGAAACTTGTCCATCTACACAACTGAAGAACAAATATTTGAATTATTCAATCGAGTTGGAGCAGGAGTGAGAAGATTAATAATGGGAAGAAATAAAGAAACAGGAAAGGCTATAGGATTTTGCTTCATCGAATATTTCAATCACGAAGATGCAAAAGAGGCTCACGAGTACTTGGACCTCCTGAAATTAGATGAAAGAGCAATCAGAGTAGACTGGGATATTGGGTATTCAGAAGGGAGAGAATATGGAAGAGGCACAGGAGGCAATTAAGTTAGAGATTCATACAGAAAGGTGGCAGATCCAGAAAGACCTAATGTCCAATCAAACAGAGGTAGAGGAAGAAGTTACAATAATAATGGAGGAAGGAGAAAATAAGTCGATGAAGATGAAAGCGATAATTCTGGTGGTGGATATAAGAAAAGAGCAGGAAACAGATCTAACAATAATTATTGAAGAACAAAAATTTCACATCCCATTATAATATTTAGTTCATAGATTTATCAAAGCATGTAAGATTTAAGGTATTCATTCTAACTCCATCATGTCCTAATATATACTCTATTTCAAATTTCTCAGTAATTTTTTGCTGATATCTTCTAATAAAAAGTAACATTAATATTTGAATCTCAAACAAATTCTTTATTATCATCTTTTAGTCTATATGAATTATAAGATTTCGATTTGATCATTAAATTAAGCATTACTTTTATTAAGTTTTAAGATAATATATAAGTAGTTAACTAATTCCTTTATAATTTTTTCAATTCCAAATTTATTCATCTCATTGCTACTGTTTATAGTATATTTCCTAATTCATTTAAATTCAGATAAAATTTCTAGATCTCTCTTATGCAATGTTCTTCTCGAAAAAAGACAATAGAGGATTTAATCCATTAATATATCTTATTAAATACATTTAAATCATTTAATGAATTTTCTTATCGATTCTTTTTAATAGTTACTTACTATTTTTGTAACTTTTTAATTTAAGAGTTTTGCAAAATTAGTCAAAGCATACAAATTTAGTATTAAATTAAGATCCAAGGAAATTATTACTTGAAAATCATTTAGATAAAAGGATTTTACTCTTGCAATTTGGGTTTATTTACATAATATAGTTACAATTAAGTATGAAGAATACTAAGATCAATTTTTCATTATTTTTTGTTATCTAACCAAGGCATTGAATACTATGAAAATCCTACTATATTATATTAAGATAATATATTATTAAGAAGACAAATAATAAATTTATTCTTTACTTAGTTTGAATGATAATCTTTCTCTTTCATTTTTCAGTCAAAATTTAATTATATCAAGGCCTTAAGATATTGTATATCACTCCTCTCCATATTTTAAGTAATGAATGCATTAATGTATCAGAACTCAAAGTATAATTATTAAATTCGTAAGTCGAGGATCAAAATAAAATAAGTCATGTGAAAAAGTATAATTTATAATTTAAGAAATAATTTTATTAATGGTTAAGCGTCTCATAATCAAATTTATAATTGAAGTTGGTTCAACAGTTGCGAAATCGTTTATGAAGGCATATTAACAGAGCGCAAAATGTATTGATGTGTAGGATGATTAGAATAAGGAGGAAAGTCAGCAAATCCGTTTAGCGAGTTTTTGAATCAGACGATGCAAGCGGCGAATTTGACTCACAAACCTATGACTAGGGATGAAGCATTTAAAATATTGTAATTGACAGCTGAGAAGACTAATGCGGAAGAAATATTGAAAGTATATATTGTGATGGAGGATTAAGATTTATTGGAGGTAGTTTCACAAGAACGATCCAGTAAAGGGAGGATCATTTTACATACAATCGATGGTGCACAATGCCAAATGCGAGTTGATGAAGGATTTTCCAGATGCGAATGAGAAGGAGATTTTGGAGAAGTTAAGAAAAGAGGAGGAGAGCTAGAAAGGGAAGGAGGAAGAAGTGAAGTAGGAGGAATAGAAGGAAAATTGATTTTATAAATACTGTATTGTGAAGATTGAATTGAATAAATTAAATTTATGCTTTAGAGATTGTCTACAGTGTTCAGAAGACCAGTGTTTTGGCATGGGACACATCATCATGACAGCAATGATGCTACAAAAAGATTATTTGACACAGTCTCTAGCACAGTTAAAGGCATCTAATAAATAAACTATGTTGTGGAGCATGATCCAAAATTAACAGCAGATGAGAAGTCAAAAATGAAGCAATTCCTTATTTATAGATATGATCCAGCTGTATATTGAGATGTTTAGATTTTAGGATGAGAATGACTTCCCCCAAGTATGTCAGCTATTAAAACGTTGTTGACTTGAAGAAGAGTACCTCCAATGTACTTGGATGCATTGTTATACATTAAAGACAATTACGATTCCTCATTATCATTACGTAGATCCTGCAGAGAAGGCATCTGTGGATCTTGCTCAATGAATTGCAATGGTCTTCATAAATTGGCTTGTATTCATGCTATTGACACTGACTTGACATAACCAGCCTACATCACTCCATTGGGACACATGTTTGTAGTCAAAGACTTGGTCGTCGACATGACCAATTTCTACACTCAATATAAGACAATAGATCCATATTTGAAGAGGAAGAGTCCAAAAGTAATGAATTAGTATTAAACTAAATTTAGGAAGGAAATAAGGAATACATCCAATCAGTGGAAGACAGAAAGTTATTGGACGGTCTTTACGAGTGTGTGTTGTGTGCATGCTGTTCTACTTCTTGTCCTTCTTATTGGTGGCATCCAGATAGATATCTTGGTCCAGCTGTGTTGATGTAGGCTTACAGATGGATTGTGGATTCAAGAGATGAGTACACTGATGAGAGATTGGAGAAGTTAGGTATTATCTGGAGTCTCATTACATTTAGCTGAGGATGTCAAGGTGGAGGACTGTTAGAATATAGGAATGTGTTCATTTACATGTCCAAAGGGATTGGATCCACAGAGATCAATGAACCATTTGATGAAATTAATAGAAGAATACAAAGAAAGAAAGATTGCATCTGCAACATTATGATATATTATCATATAATATAACAAATAATAATCATTATTATTACTATTATTACTATTAATTAAATCTGAGAAAACTTGCTCTGCATTTAGGACAAGTGGAATTTATTAACAACCATGCTTGGATGCAATGCAGATGGAAGTGGTGTTTTGGATCACATGGCAATATTAACAGTTCTTCATCAGTAACATATACATGCATGCATATACCACATTCTTGATCTCCTTGAATCTTTTCAGAGTGATATAGCGTCTTGCATGTCTTCTTAAGTTCATTCAATGACTGCTGATTATCATAGTTCTTTTTCTTCTGTTTGAATTTATGCCACAACATAACTGGTATTATGAATGGCAAACAAATTACTATTAATAGACTTACCATGTACACTTCCAAATATTAGTACATAGTCAAAAACAAAAACACTATTTGGAATGTAATTACATGTCTAAAACATGCGTGATACAATTCTGGATCCTCAGGATTGAGCATCTATAATCTTAATGCCCATACTACTAATATCTGAGTACTCCAAAATGTCATTATTCCCAACAATCTCAATAGTTTATACTTGAGTGCCACTTCACATCTTATCTAGGCTGCCAACACCTTCTACTTCCTATCCATCTCTTCTGGACTCAAGTACAAGTAAGGATCAAGATCTTCGCTTATCACATATTGAGATTCTGATAAAGCATTCACTTGATCCTACTCTTCTTCTATTTAAATCATATGGTTTAGACTTTCTGCTATTTACATTACGATTTACTAAAATTCCTAACTTTATTACTATGTTATTTAAGAGAACACCCATGTAAGTATGATACGCATAGGCAATAATTGAGTGAACAAGCACTGCCAACATCCAATTCGTCAGCTCGCATCTTTCGCAGTTTATTGTAAGAGTAAATATACTTGTCATCATAAACTTGAATATCGAATATGCTCGACACATCACCATTACATATTGAGTATGTTATAATCCCTTATAAAATATTTTTGTATATCTCCGATTTATTAACATAATTAATTGAAAAACTCATCACATTAATTTCGATTCTAAATTATCCTAACTTTAACAACATTAATCGATGAACCGAATGGGCAGTATCAAAATTACCTATTATACTAAATAAATTCAATTATAATTCTTTATGCAATAATAGAATTGCTTCTCCTATTGTATTAAGAGAATCTGGCATTTACTTTAATTCCTCATTCAAAATACATTTAAATAGATCTTCATTTAATTTAAATATGTAGGCTACTAAAATCAATGAAATTCCAAATAATCAATCGAATTTACTATTTATTAAAGACAAAAATGGAGATTATATCAAAAATTAAAATAAATACCTATAAGTTAGGAATCATCAGTTGAGTATTAGATTGCAAATGAAATATCTTATACTAGTAAATACAAATACATATAAAACTTAAAAAAAGAGAGATGTGGAAGGATGAATTTATCAAATGAATCTGAACCTATCAAAATTGATCAAATATTATCAATTAATGAGTTTTAAATATTTAATATATTTAACCTATATAGATTAATATAATAATCATCCGACTTTCTTAGTATATGTGCTCATTTTAACAATTCATGATAGGGTCTCTAAATAATCTTCTCAATCTCAGGTATCATGTGCTATTGAAACTCATTGAAGTGTATTTATCCATCATTCGAATTATCAATCAGTTTGAAAAAATCAGCATACTCTTCCTAATCCAAAGGAATTACAATCTTCCATTTAAGTATATAAACTTACTCTAGTCCTCAACATTTATTTAAACTCATCCTTACTCACAGATCCAGAGTAGTCCTGATCGATAGTCTTAAATACCTCGAAGAGATCTAACTTGTTGGCTTACATGAATTACAAAAAGTGAGTAGCCACCATATTTAAGATTTCTAAATATAGATATTAATACATTTCGAAGTTTTCTTTGCACTTCTCTGCTCCTTCATGGCCTACATCTTCTGATTATATGCTTTATTCAATACAATCCCAATATCATTGGTTGATATTCGACCATCCCCTTCCAAATCAAAATGATCTAAAATTAAATCATACTGTTCATTGTTTAATTGAATTTCACATTTGAGCAAAAACTACTTCATTTCAGTTCTCTCCACATTACCACTATTATCTTCATCAATCTGCTTTCTTAAGTCTAAGATTGATAAGCCATTTTTATTGGCATACTCCAACAAACTGTCGATGCATTCACGTACAATATCAGGTAATTCGCCATCCTCATTCGATTATTCTACTTAAGCTCTGGTTATTTTAATAGGTCCTGAACTTGGCCAAGTCGAGAACACCATATCTAAATCAATGAAATTGAAATCCTAGGTCTATTCATATATTGTTTATAACAGGACATCTGTCTATTCCTCATCCAAGGAAGTCTACAACAGTGCTGTTTTGAATTGTTGTCTATTCACTAAACTGCCAGGCAATTGAGCAGCTATTGATTATTGTGAACTTCCTTGTTATTTCTTTGGTTTCAAATATGCCATCAAATCATCCTTTTTTTCATTGAGTTTTTGTCTTATTTGTTCATGCATTTGAATTTTATCCTCTCCAACCAATATATTGTATTTGCCAATTGCTCTGATGAGAGTCTGCATAATGCTTTCATTTTCTTTGGTTAAATTGATGTTATAAGTGATTTCCTTCTCACCATAAGGTTCAATCAAATAGCGTGATATCAAAACGCTTTCATTTTGATTTAAATTAAAAGGTTTGTTTTGTAGAATCTATATCATTTCTCCTAGGGATGTCTCATTTGTGTCTTTCGAACGAAACAGATACAATTCTAATTCAGCATTTCTGATGTTCTGTGCCCTTAGTTTATATCTTAATTAAGTGAGCAACTCCTCAATATCATCCTACCGAATTGAACTCAACTTTCTTTGCACTTTTCTTCTATAACTTTGTTTCTCCTACAAAGTAGATTGCGAATTCTATTATACTGTGTCATTCTGCTTTTACACTTCAGGTGTAAGTTCCTGTGATTTTCTCCTCTGATTCTGGATGTCCTCTTAAGATTGCACTGTAAAGACTGGGTCTCTCTTACCACTGTATACTTGTGATGATTGTAGATTTCTGTTACTGTTGAAAAACAATTGTTAATATTTATCCTGCAACTCAATGAGCTCCTGCTTTTACTTTTCGTATTTCTCTTTAAAGCTTTCTTTTTCCTTTGTGACTGTATTTAATTTATCCTAGAAGGTACTGGTGACATCTTTGAGTGATTTTTCTAATTCATGAACCCTTCGATCTTTAATCATATTATCATTTTTTAACTGATTATTTTCGACAACCTTTTTTTCTAATTCCAACTTCATCTAGGTAACATCCTACCCTCTCTTAAACAAGGGATCATTCAATTAAGCCTTATTAAATTATTCTTCTAATGAAGATAATTGTTTCTTAACTTAAGTCTTTTCTTTAATGCTTTTCTAATAATTCTACTCCAGCTCCTAATTCACAGCATTCAGATGTTTAATTTCTCCTTGAGCTTTCTTAAGCGCTTAATTTTGATGTTCTTGTTGAGATTAGTATTTCTGCAACTCTTCTTACAAAGTAAGAATTTGATCTTCAAGACTTTATTCTGTTTGATTACTATAAAGTTGAATAAATAAATTACGGATTCATAGTATTCAGTATTTATTGATGAAGAAGCTACTTGAGTCGTAAAGATTCATCTGAGTAATTCTTCAATTCGGCTTCTAATTCTTAGATTTTGGTCAATTTGGCACTCCTCTTCACTCTTATCATTTCCTCCTTAAAATCCTCCAGCTCCTCTCTTAACTCCTTATTCTGTTTCTTCAATTATAAAATAATAGTAGATTGTGGGACTTCATTTGGTTGTTTCCTATACTGCTAAGCCATAGCATTAGTAAGAGAAGATTGGTACTCTTCAATCAGGGGCTAGATAAAATTACGATGTACATCACTACATTTGAGCATGGCAGTTTCCTAACTTTTTAATTAAGCCTTAAGCTAGTGATTATCCAATTTTAGACTGTTACACAATTGTTTAGTCTTATTAAGTTCCTCATATAATCTTTCCTTGTCTTAAACCATGGTATTGGGAATAGTCTTCTTGAATACTCTGGAATTGGGTGGATCTCTTGTTTTGCTTAAATTTGAAAATTCTGAGATACCTTGCAAGGAATTATTCATTTGAATCCTGATGCGCCTTGGTTACATAGAATTTGGGTCTTCAAATATACATATTGAATATACTTATAATGTTGAACATTATGCCGAAACTCAATAGCAGACTTAAATTATATGGACAATAGATACATGTGCTGGTTCCCTGTGCTAAATTTGAGGAGTACTTGTGTAGGGTCTCATTAATTATTTTATTGAATTATATAAATCACTATTACTGTTCTGGTTCTTCTTCTGGAGGGATCTATTCAATAAATGGACAAATTTCTTGCCATATACGGATTGTTCCATTAGAGCCTAATAATGAAGTGTTCCCATACTTGCAGTTATCAGCAATCGTCCCACAATCAACAACGCTCTAATCTCTTCCTTAGTCAATTCATAGGTTTTAATCAGCATTCCTTTATCCGGATTCCAAATGCTTAATCTCCCATCTGAACCACCTGTAATGAGGTGTTTACTGTAGATGAGACTGCATAATATTTATCCGGTGTGTCCATCTTTTAATGTTCTATTTGAGTAATGCAATGATTAATTACTTTAATTTGGTTCCTTGCTCGACATTCAAGATCTCCCCCAGTTTATCCATTCCTCCAACCAATACTTGAGTGTTATTTATCAGGTACAAATGCTACACCTTAGTAGTGACAACTGTGCGTAATGTCTTAAGGATTATCTTTGGACCAGTCTTTTCCTATTGATACTTAAATAGTTTAATACTCTTTTGTAGGTCTTCACTCTCCCATCAGGGAATCCAGCTGCAAATGAATCTTTATTGTAGGCCACCATTGAGATCACAAAGGTTCTGTCTACAGGTTCAGCATGTTCCAAAGCACCAGTCGTGTAATTAATTAATTGTATTTTCCTATCCTCAGAAGATGTCACGATACTTCCATCCAAATAAATGATGGAATACACGCCCTTCTCATGAAATTTGAATTTTATATCCATTTACCATATGTTATCATGTTATTTCCATCCAATCACAGTGCCCTCCTTATTTCCTGCCAATACCATCCCATTATGGATATGCACACTCAATATTTCTGCCTCATGCTGTAGAACCTTATTGATACTGAACTTTTAAGCATTCCAAACTATTATTTGTTTGTCCTCACCTGCTGTAATAAATTCATCCTTATTTATAAACATCATTTAATTTATTTTCCCTTCATGTTTTATCAATTCTAAAGACGGAAACCTTCCTACTATCTATGTATCTGTGTACAAAGCACAAGTTTTGAGCATTTCGATATTAGGAATTAAAGTTCCAATAAACCAATGATAAATTTACTTACGACTGCTTGGTATTTATTGTGGAAAATTTAGAACTTGGAATCCATGAGGTTAAATAAAATAGATCTTAGGTTGTCTCTATCTAATCAACTCGGTATTCTATAGTTATGCTCCCAATCTCCATAAACCTTACTATTGTGATTAGTCAATCTCTATATAAAAGTATTTCTCCTTTCTTTCAAATTTTATTATTTAATTCGACTCCTTCATGGTTTCTCCGTTTTCTTTAATCAAATACACACTAAAGTTCTCTTTTGGAATTGCTGCATCAACTAACAAATAGGAACAACGATCAGGTTTTAGATTGTGAGGAAATTCGGAATCCACCAAAAAATTGCTTATCTGTGGGAATTATTTATCCTAGAGTGACCAAACTACCATCTTCCCTTAAGTTGTAAATGTCAACAATCTTTTCTCATAAGCCACACAATCTCCACCATACAATTTCACAGGAGATTAAAAATACTTATGATTTTATGCTTTTAAATCTTAAATGGTTTCGGGTAAATGGATAAATGTTATAAAATTGCCTTAAGTAATAAGGACGCCATCTTCATTCGATAACACACTACTAACTTATAAATCTGAATTTAGACTGATATTAGGTCCCCTTTCAAGAGTATCTATACTTAGAGTATGTAGTATCCCATCCAAACCTCCGAATACTAAGTATTTTTAATCCAAGGAGAGAATCTGCAACACTGGTTTACCGCAACTTTGATACCCTTTAATTTAGACTGATTTGAGTTAAGTTGCACTCAGAGGTTTATCAAGTGATTTTTCAACCTTATAAATATAGATTGATTTGTTCCCATCACTTAAAGCAGCAATCTAATCATTTGTTATGGAGACTATTTTATTAATCGGTTCCACAGTCTAAGGTGTTGATTCCACCTCTATCTCAGAATCTATCATTATTTAGAGCTATCTCTAATCAACCTTCAATAGGATCAACTTGCCATCTACACTCCCTAAAACTAAACCTTCAGAACCTACCTTACACATGGTGTTGATCTTCCTGTTAATGGAGAGACTTGTTAGGAGAGCAAATTGAGACTCCTCGTTTTTCCTTAGCCAGGCTATTTAACCATTATTATCACTTAACATCACATTATCATCATCCCAAATAATAATCGAGTTAGCAGCATCAGACAACACATTATTTATTGTGTTATCAATTAGATAATTATCCAAATTCCATATGCTTACACTGCCATTCTTTTAATTAGCAGCTACAATCAAATTTGGTGACTAAAATGCACATTATATGACTTCGACATCCTATTAAGTTTTGGTTAAGTTTGGATAGCTTTTTAGTTGATTTGTAAATACAATCTAATTCACAACATCAAAAGTTTCATATGGCTCTTTTAGACTTCCTAAGATCCAAAAATAAGGATTTAACATCCCTTGTTCTTCTGAAAGAGTAGGTAGATTGTATTTCTCAATTCTGTCTGGAGTTAAAACATACATCTCTTAGACCTAATCCATTTTTAATCTAGGTAAACAAGCCACCAACTGTAAGATGTCTTTCTTATTTTGCAAATTCAAGAATTTGATCAATTAGATCCCATCTTTTGGATTTTATATCTATTAGATCTCCTAATCTTCTTAAATCACTTGTTTATCTATTCATAGTAATAATAAATTACTCTCCTAAATGATATAGAAGTTCAAGAATTCTTCATTTGGTTTATTTACAATTAAGACAATCAATGAGTGTTATTGTGGTTTCTGAATTATATAATAAGTAATAGGGTTTTAATTTATGGTTTAAGTCTCATTGATTTCTTTGCTTGTATCATAATAGTAAGGATGTGTAATTATGATTCTACCTTTAGTAACTAAAATAAATCTTAAAGTAAAATACTCTTCTTTTGTATCAAGGCCTTGCATATTCCATGCTCATTTGATCTGTAACTGTACAATTTCTTATTCAATTCATCCACAACCTTGATGTACACATTAGGGACTGGTGTCTTCTCTACTAAATCAATAAATGAGAATTATATTAGGTTGATTTCGCTTTGTTATCCAGAAGGTGGTTGCAAATACTTGGGCTTCCTTATCCTTAAGTCATTTGAAGGCTTGATTTAATTCTTTTTGTCTAAAGCATCTTGGACAGGATCATAGCCTTCTTCTGGTTGGTTGACTTTTTCTATAGTGTAAGTGTATTCACAAACTCCAGGACTGGTTTGTATTTGCTCTTTAAAAACTTGATATCCTATTTTCTTGATGAAAATGTAGAATTAGTTTGGCTCAACTACAATTTCGTACTTGGCACTTCCAGGTGGAGATTCTTTGAGTACTGCTTCTTTTCCTCCTTTCAATGGGATGATTTCTACTCTGCACTCTGTTATTGGAGCCATCTCACAAGTAACAGCAACAACAATGCATGAGTGTGTTTATTTGCATAATGGAATAATTTAATCAAGAGTTAGATCGTCACTAATTAATTAAAATAGATTAATGAGCTAAGCAAGCGATATTAATTTGAAATACATGTGTTTTTCTTAAGAAGTCATTAGTTTCTTCAATTATAACTTCATACACATCCAAGGGCACATTAGTCAAAGTGATTCTGCCATCCTAGTTAGTTCTTTCAATCTTGTATGATGTCTCTTCATGATCTTTGACGGTCTTTTGAGTTTGTCCAGAAAGATTGGAATACGATGATTTCGGTCTGCTTTGACTACTTTGAGGTCTGAGGATTTTGTTGGTTCTGGAAGTGACTCAATATTTAATGATATTAGATACACATCAGGCTTTGAGTTCTCTGTTGTGTGGGACGGTAGGGTTGGATTCTGACATCGGTGTTTTTGATTTTCTGATCAGAATCAGCATATTTCAAGTCTATATTGAATGAAACCTTCTTAAAATATTATGGTAATTTGTTAATTATGCTGGGTATTTAGGGCCAAGCTTTTGAATTCAATTTCGATCCTATTACAGCAAACTTCAACTGTCCCTTCTATTTGGACACCACTTAGACTTCGAAGCAACCTTTAATTAATGAAGGGGATGTGCATACCTAATCTTCTCTGTAGAAACATTGTGTCGATACTATGATCAAGATGGTCGTAGAGAAGAGGCTTCAAGATGACCTTGACAATTGGAAATCTCTTCAATATTTCATTTTTCAGTTGTTGTGCATATGCCAGATAGCGTGTTTCATCATGCTTGGTAGATCCTGTGTGTTCATGACAATTTGTACTGCATTAACATATTCGTATACCAATATTCAATTGTTACGATCACGTCCTCTTCAGAAATATCCCTGAATTCTCTGAATTCTCGAAATCCTTGATGCTGCTCACTTTTATTATGAATTTCCTCATTTTTCTCCCACAGTTCTTAAAATGTTCGTAACTTCTTTATCTTCACATTACTGTATGATAAGCCCGCATCCGAATGCTCATACTTGATCGTACGGCTAGACTCAATCAATCATACATTAATACTCATATTTGAACGTGCCTAGAGAAATCCAAGGGTTCCCGTGGAGATCACGATTAAAATGATTGTCATACAGTCTTTATTTATAAAACGAACCACTACCTAGACATCACCATTAATGATTGGTTTTAAGTGTACTTTTTCGATCTTTTAGTAGGTTGAGAAAGTTGAGACAATCTGTCTGTTTCCTAGTATCTGTACATATAAATATATATGTATAATTTAATAATTAATACTTTTATGAATAAATAAGTTTCATAAAAAGTTTGTTTAGCTTCTATATATATATATACAAATAGCACTTAAATTGGCATCTCCATATTTTCATTCACTACAGTTAGTAATGAACATCGAAATCTTGTAATTCATTTATTTATGTCTACTCTTAGATACTATTACAAATAACAGATGAATAGTTGATGTATCATTTTAATTTAATTTTATATGCTTAATCTCAATAAATAGGAGTCAAAATCTTGGTTAGCTGGATATCAATGTTGTGTTGTAATCTACACTTCCATTAGTTTTGGACTCATCCTGGTAACTGTGTTCAATCAAGTTTAAGTAATTATAGATTCTAAATATAAAAGTCAATCTAATCTTATGCAGATTGGGATAACTATCTCATCAAAGACATTCAAATCAAGTAGAACTTCGATGAGGGATTTTCAAATATTCTAAATTTCACATGGCCAGGAACTGAAAAAGTCTGTGATTGTACATAATCCAATAGCACTAGTATTTACAAATATAAAAAGTATGAAATTTACCATTATTCTAGTTATTACTATATGGATTGTAGTCAATTCATGTTACAACACATCAAGAGTAGCAGAGACCTATAATCCAATAGAGCAGATGGAGAAGTAATAATTTATTTATTGGCCATTTCTTCAATAAAGTGTTGAAAGAGGTAATCATTGTCTATATTATCTGAAGGATTCCAAATCTGCGCAAAAAGAGTCCGTTTATAGCGATGCAAACATACTCATCATATTAAAATATGGAGAATTTAGATAATATTTGAATGTGCCAATAGCATCTTATTGTCCAATTAGTCATTTCAATATGATTCCAATGGCTATGGCTGATCAATTGGAGATTCCGGTCTCTATTATAACTATTAAAGAGTTGAGTCGGAATAAATGCCAAATTACACATTTTACTATTGGATATAGTATTCTAATTTGTTATTTAGTAACTAGATTCTATTTGTTTTTCTGTTGCAAAATATCTAATTTTTATTATCTTGATAACATGAATGACTATAAATGCTACCTAATTACTGTAAGTGAATAAAGTTTTAAATTAATACACTAATCTATTTGGACAAACTTATAATTAATAAAGAAGTAATCGTTTTATTTAAAATCATCTAGATGTGAATTTATTCTATATATGATTGACTAAATTTCGATAGTGTAAATTTCAAGATTTAGACTTTATATATAATTTGAATAGTTACTTAAAAGATAATGTAATGGACATCTAATTGGCTGCATAGGTGATAGTAAGAATATAGGCAGGTGTATTTGGATTTTGATTCCCATTATTTCAACCCTTTTTCTTAGTAGGGTGTAATTTTAAATTTGACTAATTAAATCGAAAGGGTTTTCATTTCAAAAATCTTTTTGGATTTTGGTTGGGTACAAAAATGATTGGAGTAATACTATGCACTATCATTTTGGCAGTAGATTTAGGTTATTAACAATTTATAATAAATCACTTTTATGATTTTATTAATGCAGATTGTTTGGATACTCTTAATTTATATGAGTTGTATAATTATTTACTCTTAAATTTCATACTTTATATTGACACCAATGTGACAGATATTTATTTAAATTATCTAATGTGCAGAGATAAGTATAAAAAGGAGTAATTATAATGAAAAAATTCAGACTTAATGTATCCTAAAATGGAGACTTCTACTCATCCAGACGAAAACCTTATTAAGTCTAGAGTTTATATAATTCAGGGGAATTAACAATTTGATCAAGAAAAGGCATAACTTGAAGAAATCAAAATACCAGATTACAATATGGATATACAAACAAGATGAATGAAATCTAATCAGTGTTTTTATATATATTACAAATAATCAACGCAGAAATGTATATGATATAAAATATTAGAGTTTGTTATTTATAAATATTTATATTTAAATTTAAAGAATTCAACGTTTATCAATTGAAATCTATATATATTTCATTTGAAGGGAATATCTATCAAAATTATACATATTCATTTTTAGTTAAATATAGAATTTCATTGGTATCAATACTTGTAAAATGAAAATTTGCTGAATCTTTTCGAGAGCATTTCTATTATTTAAATCTATTCCTATCAGACCAGCAAAGTATTGCATTAGATAAATGGCAGTATTATATAGTATAAAATGGATTGAAAATAAAGATATTTATTTTTTTAATTTAAAATGTCTCTAGATAACAGCTTTGAAAATATAGAAGAATTTATGCTCTCCTTCTTTAATGAAGTGCAAAACGAAAATTAAAAGGAAGGCCAATATGTTTTAGACTCAATTGTTTAGGAAGAAGATTTAAGGCCTTAACTCTAAACTCCAAAAAGCAATGGGAAAGCTTATCGATAGTTGTTTGAAATTGTTTAAAGATTAAATGATATTAATTGGGTGGAACCATATACAAAAATTACTCCTATTAAGCACTTTACTCCAATCACCTTTTGGTTTATCATTTGTTCTCAATACTTCTAAAAAGATGTAGATCCTAAAAGAATTAAGTAATCCAACTAATTTAAATAATAGCATAGAAGAGGAAATCACACTTGATTAAAAGGATAAGGAGTCTCGTCCATACACATATTTCGACGATTGGTTCATTTTGGAAATGAGAAAAATAGTAAACTTTAATCTAAGATAGATGGTTAAAAGAATTATCACCCAAAAATGATTTGGAATCATTATAAACTATAATTGAGGAGCACTTGCTTGAAACCAGGAAAGAATTACGATAGCAGATTGATGCAATTTAAATAGAAAAGCCGATTCTGGACATATAAAATTAGCCTGATTTTATTTTGAAAGATCTAGTTGGATTGACAGATGTTGAAAATCAATATCTAACATTTCTAGAAAGTCAATAAAAGTATTATGCATTAATCTATTAATAGAATATATGATGAATAGATAATTAATTAATCTAAACAATCTAATTTAGCGGGCACAGCTAGAAAGTTATAAAATGTCTATAATAATTGTTAAATTTGTAATTAAGGAGCAAGATCACTTGAATCTTTATTGACTTGTTAGAAGTGTCAAATAAAAGTTCATTAGAAGTGCTATGGACTTGAGAATGTCATAAATGCTTGGGTTTGTGATTTGTGTTTGAATTTTGGAAGCTAAGGCAAATTTTTGAAATGTCCATTGTGTCCAAAGTTAGGAGGTGCCATGAGAGAGACAACATTGGCAATGAAGGATTCAATATTTGAATAATCTAATCCTAGCTATCATACTTATGCTATGAATTATAAAATTGATAGATAAAGTAAGAAAAATAGATAAATATTTAGAACCACCACCTGATGGAGAGGAAACATATAATTTTATGGTCTTATAGTATTCTTTGGATACTTTGATGGGAGAACCACCAAAATCTGAAAAAATATGGGCTCATGTTTCATGCATGCTTTGGCTTGATTTTGATTTACGTAACATTGATAAGAAAAAGTTTAACTATTTGTGCAGCATTTGCAAAACCAAAAAAAATGGAGCCTGCCTTTTGTGTACCAAATCAAAATGTGGTATTGCTTTTCATCCTGAATGTGCAAGGAGGTCTCAATTTTATATGGAATCTGATGAAATCTTTTGTTTCAAGCATCAACCACTTAAAATTAAAAGAATTTTTGAAGATTAACACAACCTATGGAAAGAAGAAATTTACTATTTTTTTAAGCAATATGAAAAATTAGAATAATACTTGATTCATAAACCAAAAAACAATGATTTAGAATTCTAAAAATTTGAAATCAAAGTTCAGCAAGAAGAAATAGAAGCGGATATTAAATTAGAAAATCAATAAATATTTCAATAAATTACTGATATAATGGAAAGAGATGAAAAATTCATTATTACTTTAGAAAACAACTAAGTTACTAATATTTAATATCCTTACAAAAGATTATCCGTTTATGATTTAGAAGAAAATGATAGAATTTGGCAATAATTAGCTAATGAGAAGTACACCCCAGAATAAGTCTATGTTCTCTATCAAAGAGCAATTAGGATGAGAAAGAAGAAGAAGATATCAAATATAATTTCTCAATTATAAATGACTACTCAATAAGAACTACCAAATAGGAAGAGGCATTCCATATATTCAAGACCAAAGATATTTAAACGTCATAAAAAATAATAAAAGTTAAATGGTACAAATAAGATTTCACTGAAGATTAAAATTCCAAAAGAAGCTATTAGTCTGTAATATTGTATTTGCAAGTAACACAATGAAAATGAAGAAATGATGCGTATATTTTATTGATCATATTAGAATGTGAAACATGCTATGATTGGTATCATCTAAGTTGCTTGGGATTTCAAGGGAGTATTGAAGAGGCTCAAAGATTGCTATTCTATTGTTTCAAGTGTGAATCGAAACTTACTAAAGAATAAAGTAAATATATAAGGAGATATCCTTAATATTTTGTGGATTCAACATTTCGAGATCTGAAATTAAAGATTGGCATGTCCCCACATGAATTAAGAATGCAAGAGAAGAAGAACTACAAATAATTGTCTAAATGAATAATATTAAAATATAAACACAATTCCTATATTATTATGTTAAATAAACAAAATAAATCAATTTGCGCTGAGGATGATGTTATTAATAGGGATGAATACTAATTTTATGAAATAACCCACTGCCCCCATAACTGCAAAACCAATTGCACATGATGTTGCAATTTTTATGTATTCTATGATTTTAGATCAATCAGTTACCTCTTTTATCTGGTTTAGTGCATTTTCTTATGAATCTGTAACTTTCTTGTCCAAAACTTTGGACGTCTGTTAGAATTCCATTTATTCCATTCAATGTTTCCTAACTCATAATTTTTTAATTAAATTATTATACGTGTGTTAATTAATTAAATATATCAATCTCTTGTTTTTATTTGACAAATTTAAATACACATTAATTGGATATTCAAATGATTCTAATTCAAATCTTGATATAATATTTAGCAACCAATGGCCTATAGCTACAACAGTAAAATATTTTTTAAAGTTTACTTTGGCTTTATTACAGAATTTGAATTATTCTTTAGAAAGTGACATATATCCTAAAAACTCCATTTAATTATTGTTTATAATTATTTAATGAGGTAATTAGAAAATTTGTTTTGGCTTATTCTTAAATGAAATTTTCTTTTTTAGTTGTTTTGGTCCTATTAAATTAATTCTCTATTTTATATTTCTAAAAATTTCTATTCACGATATTAATTCTTATTATCTTGATTGTATGAGACATTTAGATGGGCTAACTAATTCATTGTTGGTTTTAGGTAGATATTAATATTCTTTGATAGAATGTGATATTGGATATAATAAAAAATAATTTTAATAACTCTAAAATCGTTTAACTATTCACCTTATCTTATCATTTATACTTTAATAGATGTATTTAAGCTTTAACTTATGCGATAATCTTTTGGTAATTTAATATGTGAAATGTATTTATAAATAAAAAAATTATAACCTTATTTAAATAATGTTAAAGTAGTCAATATTTCCACTTCAATTTGACTAAATACTTTAACCTGACTTAAGCATCATCATAAATTATAAATTCATAGCACTTTAACATGGATGTATCCTGAAATTCTCAAGGTTCAGGCTTACCAATTGGAACTTTTACATTAGGCAATCAAGGCATATTAACATAAGATTATTCGGCAGGGTAGCATCTAGCTTTACCCAAAGTGCTATGAGTCTCTTTAGGGAGATTACCTCCATAACAATCATAATCGAATTTGATACCTGGATTACCCTATGCCACATCGCAAAGTAGAATAAATATATAATTTTTTTGAAAATCTGTGCAACATAACTTGCTGCTTTTTCAACAACATCAGTAAAATAAATCCCCTAAAAAATATAATTAAATAGCTTACTTTTCCAAATCTATGTGCTGTGACTGGAGCTTCAAGTGCTGCTATTTTTAATCCTTGAGCCTATATACCTGCAAAGTTAATTGATGGTGATCCAAGATACAGGAGCATTCTATTTCCAAAATCTTGCTTGAATCTCTTATCATCTTATTCTTTTGTTAGCTCAAAGACATGTTCAACTTCCAATTTACAAGAATAACCTTATGTATTTTGTATGAACATTTAATTAATTTTAACTTTTTCACTATTATGCTCTAATTATTATATATCTATATTGAGTTTTTTAAAGGTTTCATCAATTTAATTTGAATCGTTTTTGCTTTCCTCTAAAATTTTGTATACTATCTAATTATATGGAACTTTATTTTATTAGAAATAATGTGGAATTTAACAATAAAAGTCATTGGTATGTTTTAGGATCTCAACATAATTTGGGCATTCTATATCAAATTCATTCTAAATTTACCTCAAAACCTTATATTCTTTTGTCATCACTAATGCTGCTAATTCTCTTAAAGGTAATTTTATTGCATCATAAGTATCCATAATTCATCTTAAATGTTTTATAATTTTTTCTATAGCAAAATAGAAATATCACAATAAAAAAATAATCATAAAATCATTATATAATTTTAAATAAGAATGAATGGAAAACTGAGTTATAAGCAATATATATAAGGGAAACTTGATTTACTTGAATTTATGATTGCTGAAAAATAAGCCAATGTTAAACGTTAGGAGGCTTAAAGAAACGAACTCAATAGTTTGGGTATTAAATCAAAATTGAATTTCTAGTTAGACAAGTCAAAGAAGAATTACAAGCCTTATAGGAGCCACATTCATATGTTGGAGATGTTGTAAAACAAATGGGAAAGGATAAAGTGTTAGTTAAATTGAATTCAGATGGAAAATATGTTGTGACTTTAGATAAGAGTATTAAAATTGAGGATTGCAAACCAAATACCAGGGTAGCTTTAAAAAGTGATTCATACGTTTTACATAAAATACTGCCTACCAAAGTCGACCCTCTTGTATCATTAATGAAAGTTGAGAAAGTGCCAGATTCTACTTACGACATGATTGGCGGTCTAGATTAATAAGTAAAGGAGGTGAAAGAGGTCATTGAATTGCCAATCAAACATCCAGAAATATTTGAAAGTTTAGGAATAGCATAGCCAAAGGGAGTATTACTCTATGGACCACCAGGAACAGGAAAAACTTTGTTGGCAAGAGCCATAGCACATCATACAGTATCTAATTTCATTATCTATAAAAGGATTGTACATTTATCAGGGTGAGTGGTTCAGAACTAGTCTAAAAATATATTGGAGAAGGTGCTAGAATGGTCAGAGAATTGTTTGTTATGGCACGTCAACATTCTCCTTGTTTAATATTCATAGATGAAGTTGATTCAATAGGAGGAGCAAGAATGGAAGGTGAACGAGGTGGAGATTCAGAAGTATAGAGAACAATGTTGGAATTATTAAATCAAGTAAGAATTTTTTTATTAAATTAAAAGCTGGATGGTTTTGAGTCTACCTAAACAATTAAGATTATCATGGCTACAAATAGAATTGATATTCTAGATGCTGCTTTATTGAGACCTGGAAGAATAGACAGGAAAGTGGAATTCCCTAATCCTGGAGTGGATGCTAGATTGGAAATATTGAAAATTCATTCAAAGAAAATGAATCTGATGAGGGGAATTGATTTAAGGAAGATAGCTGAAGTTATGCCAGGTGCTTCTGGTGCTGAATCAAAGGCAGTTTGCACTGAGGCTGGTATGTTTGCATTGAGGGAAAGAAGAATTCATGTCACTTAGGAAGACTTTGAAATGTCTGTGGCTAAGGTAATGAAAAAGGACATCGAGAAAAATATGGCAATCAATAAAATGCTAAAATGAATGGTTATATATAATAAAAGTATTATTAATTAATAATTAATGAATAACAGAGGTTATGACCATTTGTTTAAACTTGTTATTATTGGAAATAGTGGAGTTGGTAAGTCATCTCTACTTATAAGATACGCTGATGATAAATTTAGTGAAAATTATATCTCCACTATTGGAGTTGACTTTAAGTTAATTCAAATATTAAACTAGATTTAAAACCTTTCAATTAGATGGCAAAGGCTTAAAGTTATAGATTTGGGATACTGCTGGTTAAGAAAGGTTTAGAACGATTACAAATTCATATTATAAAGGAGCTGATGCGTACTCCAATATTTTCTAAGCTATAGCATTGTACTTGTATATGATACTACTTGCTTATAATCATTTGAGGAAATTGAAAAATCTTGGTTAGACGAAATATACAAGCATGCAGGCAGGAATACAACCATTCTTTTGATTGGAAATAAAAGTGATTTACCCAATAAAACTGTTTCAACAGAGAGGGCTCAAGTTTATGCAAAAGAGAAACTTATGTTATTCAAAGAAGCAAGTGCTAAAACATCACTTGGTGTCAATTAAGCATTTGAAGAGCTTTCAAGGTTACTAATAATTAAGAAAAACTTGGAAGTAGAAGAAAAAAAATTAAAAAGAAATTAAAAAAAAGTATGGATTCCTTTTATTATTTTAAGAATATAACTAAATTAGATTTTGATAAGAAAGAATCTTACGAGACTCAAAATGAACCAAAAGAAAATATTAATTTATGGTTAAGACCTAAACCCAAATAAGAAGATAGAATATAATAATAATAATGTAATTGTTGATAGTTGTGTATATTTTATAATACATCTAAATTATGCACTTTCAATTCTATTCTCCACTTTAATTTTAGTATTTAACAAATATATCATCATAAATTGGTTAGAATTCTTTATTTAATAATATTCTATTCTATTTTATATTAATTATCATTGATAAAATCAAATAATAATTATAAATGAATCTAAATAATTCATAGAATAATAAACTGTAAGTAAAAGATGAGTTATAATCTTAAAAAAAATTTAATGACGTTTATGTAATTCACATCCTTCTTTTTCCACATCCTGATCTCTAACCTGACTTACACCTAGATCTACTTTATCTTGGTTTTGATTATCTAACATTTGATTTTCTTCCTTATTTTATTTCTTCAACATAATCATCATCGTCATCATCAATTTATTTCTTTCTTTATGTGTTTTTTTTACTTTGTTTTTATTATTGTGGTTTTTATTCAGGTTCAACATTTTAATCACCATCTGAATCATTAACTTCTTTTTGGCTATTTTTCTCAGATATTCTTTTGATATAGTTTTGTTTAGCATCTTCAAATTTCAATGATTAAATGCTATTCTATATATCTTCAATAGCATTTTAATCTTTGTTATTTGCTTTTGATTTTTGGCGGTTTTGATTTTCAAGTTGCCCTTAGCTTTAACTTGTCTTTTAATTGTTTTTACTCTTAACTTATATCTTTAATTCTTCCTCTTTTTATTACCATTCCATTTTGTCTTCGTCTGATAACTTTTTCCATTATTCTATTATTTTTTCAGTGTGCTCTAAATTCTTTTTTGAATTAGCTGTCCCAGCATTAAAGAACTATTGGTGGAAAAATACATTAAATCCATTGCACGTTTGATCATTTGTCATTAAATTTAATTAGTACTTTAAAAAGCTCCGAACCCTCCATTAGAAATTATATCCTACCTTTTATTTTAAATATTAAACAATTACAATCTTTATTCAAAAATAAATTCACTTCAAATTTTAAATTATTATAATGTGTAAATTAGTTACTTAATTTCTTTAGTTCAACATAAAAACTACTTAAAATTCATGTTTTATAATGATATGTGAAAAATGAATTTCTTATAAAAAATGCTATTTGTAATATAATCTATCAATTTTTTATTTACAAAATAACAGACTAATTAATAAAGATACATAATTCAACCCATCAGCAAACTTGAGTCAATATCAATTAAAATTAAAATTATTATAAGTATAAAATTATTAAATTTACTTTTGATTCTATTGAGAATGACCAGACATCACTTGATAATTAGATATTTTTCAAAAATAAAAGCGATAAATGAGAAATTTTAATTAAGTGGTTTGTCATCCTTGAAATATCCTTAAACAATAGGAGAAGGTAGATTTCTTATTTATTATAGAATGTTATAAAATATAGCATAAATTATTATCAAATTATTCTGAATTTTTTCATGGCTTACTTTAAGTCCTCCATATTTAAAGGTTTGTCTAAATGATCATTAGCTCCACATTTTTAGGATTTAATTTTATCATCAGATCCTGAGAAAGCAGTAACAATTATAATTAGAGATTAAGTTAATTTGTACATTTGTTCATATTTCCTTATTTCTTATGTACATTAATACCCATCCATTTCTGGCATATTTACATCCATAAAAATGACACTCATCTTCTCTTTCGAATATAGATCAAATGCTTATTTTCCATTAAAAGCTTTATATAGCTTACAATTATAAATCACTTAATTAAGCATAGCACTCAAAGCAATTATATTAAAAGGAGTATCATCAACAATCAAGACTTTCAAACACTCATCAGGAATTGTTTCTAATTTATAGTAAGTTTGTGCCTTCTTTGATTGATTTTTCCGTTTTTTACTAAATATTGTTTAATTTTTAACAGAAGGAAATATTGGAATAATTTATTTTTCATCTTAATCTTATTCCTGCATTGAGTTTTCTAAGGACTGCTGCAATCTTCTAAAAATAATGAATTTAAAAGTAGAACCTTTGCCTACTTAAGATTTTAACTCAATTTTATCATTAGGTCCTAATAAAGATACAAGTTATTAACTAATAGTCAGCCCTAATCCAACTCCATGTCTATTGTTATTTCCTATGTCGAATGTACTATATAATCTAAAGAGATTTTTTTATATATCCTCGGGTATCCCGTATCCCGTATCAGAAACTGAAATTTCAATAACATCCTATTCAATTGGTTAAATTGCCGTTACTATAATCTCCCCTTACATTGTGAATTTAATGGCGTTAGCAACTAAATTAATCAAAACTTATTTTAGTCTGTTTTCATCAGTAAATAAATCAGACTAAGTAGGATCTATTTAATTGTTCCAGATTAATTAGACACCCTTTTCATTAGATTATCTAAGTAATAATGAATTGATGAATTTAAATGTATTATTCAAATTAAATGCTTTTGGAATTAATCTCAGGTAACCTTTATTAATTTGGCTATAATCAAGTAAATCATTTATCATCGAAAGTAACAATTAACCAGATTGATTAAATTCGTCAAGATGAGCACAAAGTTATTTAATATTACTAATTGTAATGCTTGATGGATGTTACAAGATATTTTGCATAATGTTTATGCCAATCATCATTCCATTCAATGGAGTTTTCAAATCATGAGAGACTGTAGCCAATAATCTATCCTTATATTGATCTAATTCTTTTAAATGCTTCAATCTAATCTTTTCGGATATGTCATTCATAATAACTAATATTGAATGCTTGTTTTCCCAAATACAATGCAAAACTCTGATTTCAAAGTGGGATTTTATTTTTAATTATTATTTCTAAGATATTGCTACTTTACATTAAGAATCAAATCTAAAACATAAAAAATAGTCACTAAACTCTGATATATCGTATTCATTCTATATCACAGAAGTACTATTTGTCTTAAATTACTAATTAAATTATTCTTCAAATTGCCCCATCCCTTAATATAAAACATCATAAATACTCAAATATGAATTATAAGTGTCCTACATAGATTCCTATTCAGTTTATATGTAAATGCTTTTTAACTCTTTTATGATTTCATTTTCATCTGAGACCTACAAGTATTTAATAGCAAAGTCATTGCTATATATTAACTTCATTTCCTTACACTAATTTGTGGAATCTTGTAAATCATCATTATTTTCTGTTAAAATTAGTATTGAATTCGGAACTGTTTTGTCGAAGATGTTCTTACATGCATGCAAATTCGAAGTCTATTAACAAATCATATAGAAGTCTATTCTTTTGTAATATTCAAGAAACCTGAAGAATATCAGCATCATCAATAAAAGAACATAAAAAGTCCAATATATGGATGCCAGATTCCCCACCAGTCCAATGAATAAAATTGTTGCCGCAATCAATATCAATCCTTAAATGAACCATAATGGACAAACTAACAAATAACTGATGATAATAATTCCAGTTTATATTCCTGAACTGACCGCTTATGATGTAGTCTATCTACTACACTATTTATTAATCAGTTAAGCCTATACATATACGTAGGCTATGAGAATCGTTATCACACAACTTAAAAACTCAGAAATTGCAATAAATGATTTATAATGAATTCTTCTTAGATTAGCCTATGATACCATGCAAATTATGTGCCAAAAGCAAAAAGCCAACCTAAAGTAGGCTACTAAATGATTTTTCAAAAAAAATTGATTGTTGACAAAATAGATTAAGTTAATGAGGAAATGAATTAAGTATTATAATCGAAACAAGACTATGATTCTTTGTTTTTCCTTATTTGAATACTTTTCCTCTAAATCTTGATTTATAAAAGTCAATGTCCATAAATTCATTATTTTTTTTGGTTCTAAATCAGTTGATTCTTCAGGATGAAAAAAGAACTTTATAAAAAATTGATATATTTTTATCATTAATATTAAAATTATTATCCTGAATATTTAGACTTTAATTTATATGAATTTTATGAGATTTGATTTGTTTTAGTTATTTTTCAATGGCAAGTGATAAATATCTCAGAATAATCCAATCCAGCAGTTCTTTTGATAAAGTTAAAATTCTTACTAATTAAGTTGACAGAAGTCCTAATGTAGTACTTTTAAATACTAAAAGCCAGAATTTTAATAATTCAAGAAAACAAAGGCTTTTTTATTGAAACATATTATCATTTATAAAGGTAGGTTTAATCATTAATTACTGTTTATAGCAAATTTTGCCGTTACTAAATTCCTTGGGATTGCATAGAGTGATCTTGATCCATTTTATGTATTAATATTATTATGCTGGCGATACTGTATTCTTTGTCAAGTATGTAAATAGTTTCTGTTTGTTATCTAAATAAATTGGTTAAATAGAGTAGTTTTCAAGGGAAAATTATTATATAATTATTAAATACAATAACTGTTTATTAATAATTTATGATAATACAATAATTAGATAATAAAAAACTTAAGTATATTTTTCCTTTATTTTCTACAAAAACATCGTTTAATCTTTGTATTTAACATCTCAAGAGAGTTCAAAAGGAGGGTTAAGTTCTAAATTATTTTACCTCATTTCTAGTTCGATATCAAATTACTTTTTATTTTTAATTTTTACTGTAACAAAATTTGCTAATTATAATTTATTCATTATTGTTTTCTTAATATCTCTTTTTCAACTTATAATCAAATTTTGTATGAGATAAATGGTTAAAATTAGATAAATACATTACTATAGGAATATTTAATACATAATCATGTTAGTTATCCAAGAATCTCTATTGTAAATTATTCTAAATCAATTAACAGCTCTATCCTTTTAAATTAGAAAATTTGCATGATTTAAAATCTATCAACGAATGGTAATTAATCATTCAAGAGATTCAAGTAAGGAAATTTTAATTAGGTGAAATAGAGCATAGACATTTATAATGAAACCATTTAAAGCAAAAAGTTAATAAGTCAAACTATGATATATAAAATAAGGTAAAAATTCAAGAAAATAAAGAAGATAAGCCTAACGACTAGTTTGTATTATTAAGAAAATGCTGATTTTATAATATAATAAGATCCATCAAATTCATTAACAAAAATGTATTTAACGATGTGGAGATAGGAAATTAAGTAGAAATTTTATAATTCAAATAATATTCAGAGTGTTTTTATTGAATTCATGACTTTAACTTAATTATTTATATAAAGAACACGTATCATCCAATTTAGTTGGGCTATTTTAACACCAATTAGAAAATACTATATAGATAAATATAAGTATCATTATTTGAATGCTTCCATTTCGGGGAAAAGGAGGAAGATTTAAAAAAGTGATTTCATTTTTTACTTAATTAATTAAAATAATTAAATGAATTAAATTTAAGTCATGAAGGCTAGCATACATCAGAATTCAAAAGTTGTAATGAGCGTAGGAGATTTTAATGTAAACAATAATGACCTTCATAGAATAGAAAAATTAACAAGTTCTAGAATTACTTAGAAACTTTGTTCTAGATTACTAAAATATTGACTTGTTTTAAAGTTTAATACTAGAAGATGGTAATCCTGAAACCACGTTTGTTCTTTATTCAATTCTCTAAAAATCTCTGATAAATGGAGATCATTTTACGAATTTTCCTCATCAAAATGTGAACACTGAATACTTTTATAATGAATATGACCATCGATTAAATATTACAGAAGTGTGCACAAAGCATATTGAAATTGCTCTAATTTATTTGCAATAATCGCACAATCATCCAAATTATGTGTACAACTAAGTAATATTTACAATTGCTCTTTTATTGAGGAAAAATTGGGTTGACATTTTGAAGATTGAAGATCTCATAAGTTCAATTATAACCAGCACTTTATAAACAAATAAAATAGTCTTTTTTAAAATATTTGAAAACATAATCGGCTGCATTAGACAATATTCATATGCTAGTGGGTATATTGAATTTAGGAAAATCCTCAATAATTTTTAAACGTATTTCTATTATCTTAATTTAGATTATCATTATAGAGAATATTACAAGCGATTCACTTACAAATTAAGTAATTGTAAGGAGAAACTTTAATTACGTTATATCCATAAAATAAAGTAATGGTAGAATCCTTTATCAACTTGTTATATTAGTTGATGAACTTGAATTTTAATTTGAGCTATTATGAAATTGATGTAGATCATGAAGGAAAGGATTCCTAATTTACTAATGTATATAAGCAATTTCATTTTTAGTTTCCAGATTACTATTTAGATTTAATAATTGACCCTGTATTTTTGATTGAGCTTTTTCGAGATACAATCGGCTTCATAAATATTGATCAAAATCTAGCTCTGTTTTGTATAGGTATGCTTTAAAGGATTGCTTGTGTAAGATTGTCAATATTTCACAATAAGAAATGCAAAGGAGGATTCAGAAGAGTAATGTGGGAAGGATTGCTCTATTTATATTAAAATCAAGATTCATTTATAAAATATGTAGAGTTTTCCTCTGAAATACATTCATTGGCTGTTAGAATCATTAATAATCTGACATTGAGAAAAATAGCAAAATTTTAGATTATTTTTGATAATTTTTTCTAGTTGATTTAATAAGTGTACTAAAAAACAGTTCAACTATATGGAGTCAAAATTATGGCAAATAGTCCTATAGTAAAATTACAGGAACTTTGGAATTAAATTGGGTATTAGGGTTCATTGCATTTACCTTCGAATGATGTATTAAATGTACAAATAAATAAAACGATGCAAAATCAGTTAATTATGGTTTTGTAGACATTTTTTTAATAAAACTAATTTACAGAAATTTCATAAGAATGCAGTGTCAAGAAATTTAAGAAATTATTGGATTTAACATTCATACCCTTTCATTGTCTATTTAAATCCCACATCTAAGATAATATTAGTCTCATTTTACAGATGATTGAATAATTAAGAGGAGACAATGAATGTATAAAAGATTAATAAATTATTAGATTAAAGTGCCTCCGTTATATGTTTAACCGCTGTATTTTTATTGCACACATCAAACACCGAGTATTTAAATTTGGGATTTGATTGCTATAATTTTGGATAGAAGGAAGAGCCTAAGCCTAACCTTGATGGATAGGCTTATATCTTAAAATTTATAGTGGAACTTATAATGAATTCATAAGTATAAAAGAATACAAGAATACTAAAAATGGCAATTCTGTCGTTTATCGAAAGCTTTATTACTACAACTATTGATTCATTCTGTTATGAATAAGAAACACAATAATTTAAGAATCTGTCTTAACTATATTCCTAATTGATACGTGCAGATTAAAGATACCAAAATTATTTATTGGTTTTGGAGACTATGCTTGAAGAATGGTATCAAATATTCAAATATTTAGTTTCTAAGTATTTACATACGGTGATCCTTTCTTGATAGAATTCAGTCTTAAATTGATTGAATATATTTACTAGAAAGTGAAAAAGTACATTCCCAGAAAAGTATTTAAGGCATGCAGTATCACAGATATGCTGAAGTAATTTTTCTTATAATTAAACATCACTTGTTTGAGTACTCCTCAGTATATAAAAAAAAGAGCTTTGGTTTTTAAAATAATTACTATAGTTTGGGTAGATGATTGCTCTGATGATTATGTCAATGCTCTTGTTGATATCTACAATCAAATAAAATAAAGCATTTTAACAGAGATTAATAAAATCAACATACTTAAGTATGTTTGGGATCTTATTGGAATAGCTTCAGAAATAGATGTCGATAACATTTACAGAACATTCTTAAGAATTATGTATTTAATAATATGATCCAATTAGATACCCTGATTTAGCTAAATTATTGACACCTGAAAACATTGAGTTGTTTGCTAAAGACTATGATTCTTCGATTGCCATCATTACATTATTCAAAGCCATCTTCTACAATAAGTACTAGTTTTCATCATTTACAATAGAAACACTAGATTGTCAACCGAAAATATTTAATTAATATTGTATCAAATTTATGGTAAAGCCATGAAATTCTTCATCATTTTAATTTAATAGTAGATTCAAACTGCAAAAACTCAGTAAAAATTGTCGGATTTCTAATTGAAGTAAGTATCGAAACTTTTGGCTCTTATGAGTTAAATATGTGGATAGAAGAAAATTAATCAAGGATTTTTCATCATCTACAATGATTAATCTTTTCTGGATCTTTTTAACTTATAGATATAACTCATCTTAATTTATAGACCATTGCTTTAGCATATTCCAAAATATAAAAAATTGCTATATGAATGTTTTGATTGTATATGTTAAGACCACTCAGAAACTTTAGCTTACAAGTCTGAGTTGAATTCCTATCTTGATATTTTCCTAATTTGTAAAGATACATTAAAAGATGTTATTTATGATAACTAAGGAGAAGACACTATCAATGAAAATTGTGCAACACTCATTTTAATTGGAACTCTATTGAGCAATATAGCAACATTTTTAGTTTAAGAAGCTTCAGTGGGAGATGTAAATGATTTGCAAACAATTAAAAATAAAATAAATACCATCAATATCTAGGGAAAATAATTACTATGTGAAATCTTTAACTTGAGCTGTTAAATCACTTTAATATATCCAAAAAATTCAAAAATGATGTTTGCAATCCCAGAAATTCTATTTGCCATCTCTATTTTTAATCCATCTGATGTAATTATAATCTTTTATCCTAGTTTGAGACCCTGCTTGTCACACTGATAACCAATCAAATAGGAATCATCTCAAACCCAATAATTGATCAAGTCTTTTTAGCATTTAAGAATCTCTAAGGAGAGTTATAAATTTCAAATAAAGAAGATTTTGTAAGAAGAATTAAAATAGTCTTAGAAATGTATAAATGATAAATAATATTTATTATTACAAAATTTATTCTTTAAATTATTGATAATACATTCCATTATATGTAAGATTACTCTAGAATATCTTCAATTATTAATTCAATTTTAAAGTATACTATGAAAAGTAATGATTATTCTAAAACCTGATGAAATTGCTATTCTTAATAAAAATGCATCTCTTGGAAGAATATTATTAATGTAACCAGGAATAAACAGATGAGATAATCATAATCAGTTAGAATTTGTTTGGAAAACTTTAAATAATGTAAGTCGTATTTAAAAAAAAAAATAATTTTTTTCTAAAGAAAGATAATTACTTTATTTAATTGGTTGATGTAAATAATAATACTTAAATCGAGCATTCAAATGGTAAAAATCTTAATTTCTATAAATAACAATAAGTTCAACTTATTTCTTAATTATCTGGCTTGATTAAATGACAATAGATTGGGAAGAGCTCAGTTGGTATGAATTACTTTAATCTAATTGGATCATGTTAATCAAATAAGGGAGTCGCATGAAATGTGGATCTACCAGTATCAAATTTTGCAGATCGAAATGAACTAGAATGAGGTGATGAATCTTGTATAATCTTGATTTTTTCTCGATGTGTCACTTCATATATTGATGAATTTTATTTCAATTTTTTATCCTTTTGAAATATTAATTGAAGTTTCCTGCTCATTGGACTATTCTATGATGAAACAAAGCTTTGTTGCATCAATTTATTAGTTTTAGGTGATTCTTTTGGAATTTTGATGGTATATTCTTTCTGAATTATTTTATTCAACAATAAGCGATCATTGATGACTTCTTAACCTTAGATGAGAGGATTATCTAAATCGACTTGTTGATAGTTGGGAAGCATTTTCTGATGCAAGATTACAGACTTTCTTGAATAGATTTATTACAATACTTATAGATCTCTTCTAGAGATTAATCAATGTGAGAGTTCTTCATAATATCTGTTCGTTGAGATTATGGGATGAGGTATGTTATACCCTTCCTTACTTTTCTGAGATATTAAATCTCTTGTTTCTGAGCTTGAGAGGTCTTAACAGAATCATAGAGAGAGGGCAATTAATATTTGGTTATGACTTCAAGGTTGTCCATATTTTCGGATTCCTATTGTTGCAACTTAATTTATGGTTCCATATCAAGGATACGCTTATAGTCCTACACCTTTATCATATATAACTCAGCAAAATGCGAACTCACTCTGGCATTTATGGAATAGATTCCAGCTCCGATGTCTCCTACTCCAAAGGCAGTTGATTCTCCAAGAACTTTGATCATTTGATGAACGAACTTTTTTTTATTCAATTAGAAATGTTATTCAATTTGTTGATTGATGGGTTCTTTTTTAAATATTTCTATTTCCCCTTATTTGATTACATAAATCGCATCGCATTTTTATCCTTCCTAGAAAATTAAATGACCCCTTGTAAATTCTACACTTCTGATTGACCTACAAATGTAATCAATTTAATAATTTTTCAATTGACTAAATGCATTCACTTTGCTCAAATAAAGGAGTTCGCTCTCTCTATTTCGTTTTGACTATGAAAATCCCTTAGTCAGACTCCTAGTTTATCGAGGTTCATTATTATGCTATTAGTCAATTATTTTATTAATCATATTAAATAAATTATGAATAATATTAAGTTACTTTGAGACTTGTGGTTTCATTGCATGAGTCACAAAATTAAAAAAAACTATCAAGATTTTTTAATTTAAGTTAGATATCAAAAATTAACTTTTATATATTTCATAATTTAGTTTATAATCAAATGAAAATAGGAAATGAAAGTACTTCAGAGCATGATTTGGACATATGTGGCATTTCACTGTCCTCTTCATAAACCAAATTGCCAAATTAAAGTAACAATTCTGAAGACAAGACTCAAAAAAACGAGACTGTATTTTTTCTATAAACCTTAGACTAAAAAAAACATATAAACAATTAAAGACAGAGACGATCTACAAGGTTCGGTATCGTTGAATGATTTAAATATCTTGGGACTGAAGGATTATTATTTAGGATCTAATGATAATCTTTTGGAGACAAAGTCAAAACTAAATTAAGATAATATTGAAAGTCCAGGGATGGATTTTCAATAAAACGAATAGTTAAACACCAAATTAGATCAACTAGGTTTTAAGTTAAATGAAGTGATTGGCCACTATCTTAACGAACTCACTAATCAACCAAGATTATCTTTCGATTCGTTTCCCTTGTAAAATAGTGAAAATTTAGATGAAGAACAACAACAATAGATTTTAGATTATGAATTGCAAGCTATGAGATAACGCATATATAGAGTAAGATTTTATGACTATTTTCAAAAGCAAATTGTAGATAAAATAAATCTTTCTGTTATCCAATCTGTGAGTTCTTTTGGCTCATCTTGTTAATTACCTTCATAATCTAATATTATTTAAGCAGCCTTTTCTAAAGAACTGATCAACAGCACAACTCATATCTCTTAAATATCATCAATTTCACCGCGAAAATCAATTTCACATTCCATTTTGGATTAACAATTGCAAATCCATCAAAGCATTCATTGTATATAACCAAAAACAAACAAAAACATTGAAGATTCAGCCATTCAGATGACTGAAAATGAAAAAACTAAGGAGGATTTGTAAAACAAACTAAAAATGTCTTTATGTTTAAATTAAAAATAACATTACTTCAATAATTAACTCAAAGAGGAACTTTCAAAATTGGAAGTATTTATTTAAAACTTATATATATAAGAAAAGGAATTCAATTTCAGATAATAATAATGAAGATAAAGATCACAATAACTTATATATAGAGAATCAAAGATTGAGAGAAGAAAATCTAAAATTGATCGAATTCATTGAAAAGAAGTTATGCGATTAATGTAAAACAATTCCAAAGGATTTCTGATTTAATATGCAAATCTATATTTTTTTATTTCCTAAGTTTTTTTGATTCTTTTCTAGTTACTAAGTAATAATTTTCATTGAAAAAGTACAGAGAACTATTTTGTGTTATTGCAAAAGTTGAACCTCAAAAATCTTGATTTTTAAATAATTAGTTGGAGTTTTATGATATTTTTAGATTTTATGAAATCTCTATTTAGAAATTTATAGATACCTTTATTCTTTAAGTTATATTGGATAATAATTATTAGAGTATTAAGTATTATATTAATATTGTTATTTCATGTTCATAATTATTTCGATAAGGGATGTATTAAACAAAACTTAAAATTAAATAAATGTACTTAATTAATTATGAACAGAAAATTAATTTCCATCTTTTTTATCATCTTAACTCTTGGAGGCAATTAAGCTAAGGAAGATATACCTAAATACAAAAGATGCTTGGAATATAATAAGGAAAAAATCTTTGGATGCATAAACAATCATATTACATCTGCCTTTACATTTCAAAGTGTTACTACTTTTGCTTCATTCGTAATTGCCAAAATAGCTATCTGGCTGGCTGGTTTCACAGCAATGGGCCCAGCTGCAGGTTCTTTTGCAGCTTTCTTATAATCTTTGATTGGAAATGTAGCAGCTGGCTCATTTTTTTCTTTTTTATAAGCGGTTGCTATGGGAAAATCAATTTTATTATTAATTCCTAGCTTGTGTGTTGGAACTGTAGTAGGCATAATCTATTTAGTGTTTAGTTGCTTTAGAAATGAATATTGTACTTAAGAGGAATAAGTAAAGTCCTAACCTAATCCACAAGAAAATTAACAAAGTAATGATAAGTCATCTAATGGTTCGAATAATTTGTTTGAATAAAACAATAATAAATAAGAAGAATCATTTTGGAGCTAATCATTAAATTTTATTACTAACTCCAATTCCTATACAAAAATTGCAGAGAGTATTTCAGATTTATATAATTAATTGCCTAACATGCCACAACAAGTCATAAAATTAAAAAAATAAGTTATAGACTATTCCTCGCCATTTTTAAAATTTACTAGTGATGTTTTGGAATTTTCTAGTTAAGTTGCTTCTTCTATTAAAAAATAAATTGAGGAAGGGTAAGATTAAATGGGGATTTTATATAATTAGATAACATCCACTTTTAATGACTATGTTGAAGGGATAAATGATTTGTTTGACTTTGTTTGGAGAAACAGAGAAATTATAAAAGAAGCATTTGAATATGTTATAGTTGTTCTTTAAGAATAATTTAATAAAATTATGACAATTAAAAAGTTTATAGAAGATAGGATATAATCAAAGAAACAGGATGCTTGTTAGAATAATTTTATAGAGTACCTTGCAAATTTATGATTTTAATATTATTTTTATTAATCAATAATTGAAATACTCACCTATTTACATTATTTGTATTAAATTAATAGATCATTTATTGAAGAAACAACAATTTAGTATTATCCTCTAAGAAGCTAGTCTTAAAAAGGTTGACTAAATACAATTCTTATGATTAATTCTATAGTTATAAAAATATTAACTTCTCCAACTTTTCTGATGATTTCTAGAATTGCAAAATTAACTTATGAAGTTTCTAATGAATGACAATTTACTAGAATTTTTGGGTCTAGATACAGAATATCCAGATCCTTGAGATAATTTAATACCTTTATTCTATATTTTCTAAGCTATCATAAATCCTTAAAGAACATTATATACTCTTTATAAAATCTAATCATTTAAACAATTCATAGCATTCATACTCTCCCTGATAGCAATTTCTATTCTATTCAATTCTTCATTATAATTAAATAATTAATGCTTAGTCCAATCATAATAATGAACCGAAATATATTTCATCTTTAGAAGTCTTTTATAAGTTTCTAAATCAAGAGCATCAAGGATCAATAAAAACTCTAGTATATTAGAAAATAACTTCTTTCATTTCAATAGTACATTCTTAGCTAAGCATTAAAGAGCATAACACAACAACAAAAAAGATATACTAAAACTTCATTCTTCAATTGAATAATATAAATATATTATACAACTATATTAAGCTGAATTTAAAACCTGATTTACAAGGATGGCAAGAATATGTTCAAACTCCATATACTAATTAATTAAAACAATTGAGTGATTTGCTTAACAATAGTATTGAATAACATCAACCTAAAATTAATTCAAACCCCTTCAACATTAATTTTGCTAAGAAATGCATAACTCAACAATCTCAATCTCCAAAATACAAGTAACACTAAAAATTACCTTTTAATGAATATCGAAAACAAATGAATATCAATAGATAGGCATCACCATTTATAAGGCATAATCAGTTTAACTTTAGTTAAGATAGTAAATAAGAAATCCATTCAAAGCATTACTACAATTAAAATCAAAAATAAAGTCTAGTTATTCAAAGCCCTCAAAGGTCTTAAAGAAAGCAGATTAGAAGAAAATTACTGATGATATCCAAAGATTTTAATAATTCCTAAATTTATCATATTATTTAGTTGATTAATAAGTGAAATACAAAATGTATATATATCTTAATTCTGAAAGCTCTATTTCTTTTCTAGGTTGCCAAATTGATAAAAAAAAGCATATGTAAATTAATATCTAAGTTCCAAATTAATTATTAATTATTTGATGTATATTGAAAATCTAAAATAAAAAAATTAACTAACCTTTTTTTTTCTGGGTAATTCACATTTCACTAAATTTAAGCCTAAAAATTGGCAGCAATTAAATGCATAATAAGTATATATTAAGTTATTTATAAATCACTAAATTTATATTAAAGTAATCTTTGATTTAATATTCAGATTATAACACACACTTTAAAGATCTAATAAAACAATAATATCAAATTATGGTTGAATCAAATAAAAAACTTCATACTTTATTATCCATCTCTAACTACACCACAAGTATATTACACTGTTAAATTAGGCTATATTGACAGTTTTGATCCTCTAAATCAATCAAATACGCTTATTGGAATTGACTTTCACAATTATATAATGCTTCATAAAAAATGCTGTCCAAAATGTTTGATATTCTTGGAACTTTTTACATCAAAAAAAGATCAGACCTTTTAATGTACTAATTGTTAATGGATGATTGAACTGAAAATCACATTGCTGTATACTCTTGTAAATTGTCTCTAAATTACACTAATGTTGTCTTTGTTTCCGATTATAGCTTTTGCTCTCTCAATTCAAAAAACTGAAGATGTTATGTAAAGAATAGAGAGAAAAATTGACAGCATAACCATTATAATTATTGTTAATTTGCTTTTTAGCATCCCTATGTTCATACTTGGACTAATCATTTGCTTATTTCTTGCACCCTATAAAATCTTACTAGCCTTTTCAGAAGCTGTTAAACAAAGGGATTTCAATATAATCAAAAGAGTCTTCTCATGATATTGATTTTGAATAAATGTGTTAATTCATTATTACGCAATTAAATTGTATTTAATATCTCGATATTTGTTTGATTATACAAAAAATGATGCAACATTAATTTTATATATATAAAATAATTTTCATATATATTATTACTTTTAGCACATTGCTTTTAATTTTTCTAGTTACAACATAATTGCTATCAATTTAAAATAATAATAATCAACAGAAAAATCAATGTGTAAATTAAGAATTTCAGATTGTTAATTGAATTTAACTCAAAATTATACTATCTGAGAAATAAGCGGGGTATAAAAATATAGAGATAGGGAGATAGGAAAGATGAAACCAAAAATAGTTTTATATTTATTAATTCAAACTATTTTTCTAATTACAACACCTTTTATTGAGGATAATAAAGTGTACTTTGGTTTTTAATTTATAGAGTAATAGAATTTTTATTCGGGCAACGTGTGGTAATTTATTAGTCTTCTTACATTTAACTATCTTTATTCCTCCCTGAACTGTTTCAATAATTTTAAATATATATAAATATTTAGGAATTAAACATGTTTTTCTAGTGTTTTTTCATATTAATAATATAGAGATATACTTTATCTCTACTTATTAGAACTTTTTTCTCACTTTAAAACAAAAATATCACAAAAGTTTTAAATTTATCCCTTGTTTTTTGACTTGTCTTAATATAATATTAATTGATATAGAATTTATTTAGTAATATAAGAAGTTAATAAATTTTTATTACTTTTGTGAATTAAAATTCCAATTATAAGTTTTGCAAATTTAAAATTATATGAGAGAGAGAATGGAATCAAACAGACCAAGGAATCTCTAATAAATTAAATTTATTATTTAAAGTTATTGATTAAATATTAAAATAATGACCACAGTTAATGCTCCTAAAATTAGTGAATACAAGGAAGCTACTCGTATCGAAAGAGTGGGTGCTTAATCTCATATCAGAGGTCTAGGTTTAGACGGTGACCTTGAGCCAAGAAATATTTCACAAGGTATGGTGGGATAGGTATTCAATAATTTAAAATTAAAACCTAGAAAAAAGCCAGAAAAGCAGCAGGTATCATCCTTAACACTATTCGTGCTGGTAAAATAGCAGGAAGGAGTATTTTGATTGCAGGATAACCAGGTACAGGTAAGACAGCTATTGCTATGGGTGTTGCAAAAGCATTAGGAAATGATATTCCCTTTACAGCCATGGCAGGTTCAGAAATTTTCAGTCTTTAGATGTCAAAGACTGAATCTCTTACTTAAGCATTTAGAAGATCAATTGGTGTGAGAATTAAAGAAGAAACAGAAATTGTGGAGGGAGAAGTTGTAGAAATTGAAATTGATAAATCTGCAACTTCTGGAGCTAAAACTGGAAAGATCACTTTGAAAACTACAGAAATGGAAACAGTTTATGATTTAGGTGCAAAGATGATAGAATCAATTACAAAAGAGAAGATCACATCGGGAGATGTTATAACTATTGATAAAGTTTCTGGAAGAATTAGTAAATTGGGAAGATCATTTTCAAAGGCATCTGAATTCGATGCTCTTGGAGCATAAACAAGACATGTTTAATGTCCAGAGGGAGAAATTGAAAAAAGAAAGGAAGTGGTTCATACAGTCACATTACATGAAATAGATGTCATAAATTCTAGACAAAAAGGGTTCTTAGACTTATTCTCAGGTGACACAGGAGAAATAGATTCAGAAATAAGAGATTAAATAGATTCAAAAGTGGCTGAATGGAAAGAAGAAGGAAAGGCTGACATTGTACCAGGAGTCTTGTTTATTGATGAAGTCCACATGTTAGATATTGAGTGTTTTTCATTCCTTAACAGAGCCTTAGAATCCGATAAAGCACCCATTGTCATCTTGGCTACTAACAGAGGAATAACAAATATTCGTGGAACTACTTATAAAGGGTACTTAAGATAATTTATTATTTAGACCTCACGGTTTACCAATAGATTTATTGGATAGATGCTTAATTATCTAGACTGAACCATACAATGAAGCAGAAATAAGAAGCATTCTTGAAATAAGGTAAAAATGCGATTTATTCTTAGATGTGAAGAAGAAGATGTTGAAATGACTGAAGAGGCAAAGGAAGTATTAACTAAAATAGGAGTGGATACAACTTTAAGATATGCTATTTAATTAATTACAACTGCTAATTTAGTAGCATAGAAGAGAAAATCAAATGAAGTCGATGTTGAAGATGTCAGAAGGGTATAATTTAATTTAAACTTAGGTTTATTCTATGTTCATTGACCATGTTAGATCCACATAATATTTACGAGATCATTAAGCAGAGTACATGTTTGATGAATACTAAAAGTAAACATAAAAGATGTAGGTTGAATGATATATAAATATTCATATAAATATATACCATTTTTGACCTCCATCTTCTAAAGTGTCTGGTTTTCCTTTTAACACATAATTGTTAACAAACTTCCTTGTTTCTCTCTTTGCATCCATTATTAGTCAATACTATAAAGTAGCCAAATAGGGTAGACTGAATTCTTCCTGAAACTGCATATCATTAGTTATAAAAACAAACTGGAGTCATTCTAATATTATTTTTTACAATAATTATTTTTCAAATGTCAGCTCCTTAAATTATAATTGAACAGCAATCTCAACTCAATAGTCCAATCGAAGTAGATGGAGCTGTTTATGTGGCTGCATAAAATGGAGAAATAATTTAATACAAGGATGAATAATCTAAAGTATGATTTACATTCTCAAAACAGACATTTTTTCATGTAGCTAGTCAACCTCACTCAATAAAAATGGATAATAAGAACAAAGTGTTTTACGTAGCTAACATGGCTAGATAATGCATTTAGAGGTTTAGTCAAGATGAGAACAACGATGAAATTATTGATTTCATAAATGAGTTTGAAGGAATGCCTCTTCTTGGTCCGAATTCCATTTTGCTCTCTCCTAAAAATAGTAATTCACTCAATAACCCTTAGACATGGTATTCTTCACTGATTCTGGACCTTTTGGAGAAACTGCAATAGATAACTGCAAAGGATCATTGTTTGCAGCAGATCTGGAAAATTTAACATGTAAAGCCTTAGCATTGTATTGTCTTTCATTTCCCAGTGGAATATGTATGGGAAATGACGAGAAAACCATTTACTTGTGTGAAACAGGAAAGAATAGAATTCTCAGATTTGTTTAGGCAAATGCTGGGATATACTACTTTAGGTATCAGCTTCCCCATAAATTTAGCGTTTATATTCAATTTTAAGGGAGGTTCGGTCCAATGGCTTGTGCTGTTTCATCAACTGATCTCTTGTACGTAGCCAGATATGAATTCGCTTAAGTGACTGAGGATGGACTGATTAGTGTGTATAATCAGAATGGCATTAATATCGATAATATAATATTGCCTCAATATCCTGAATTGACAGGAATGACATTTTCGGTGTAAGCTTAAATTTTTGTATAATCTAGATTACAACCAGGGGTATTGTACATAACTGAAAATTCTTAGAAGGGGAAGTGCCTGAAGCTGAATGTGACACCGCCTGACAAAAAGGACAAGGATAAATTTAAGTGATGTGATGCCTTATAAATTATATAATTGACTAATTTAATCTGGGAATAGAAATTTCAAAATGGTTTCAATAAGTTTCGATTTCTATCCACATTTACTAGATTCGAAAGGAATTCTAAATTCATTCATCCTTAAATGATAAGAAATTAATTTAGATTTCATTTTTAGTATTAATTAATTAATTATATAAAAAATAGTACAAGATTTGAACAATATAATAATAATATAAATTATTTATACTCAAACAAGAAAAAGCTTGGTATTCTTTTCCATGGGCATATTGAATATATTTGATTTGTTATTTATTCGCATAGTCTTAATTTATTCCATGGTAAATACGAAAGAAACATTTTTATTTGAAGGTCTTCCAATGAGAAGATCAAAAATAGGTCGAATTTTGGAAGTTTCATTTGGACGAGTTTTCAAACAACTTACCTTTAAAATACCATTTAATTTAGATGGCATAAACTATTTTTCATTTTATTTCTTTTATCTAGGGGTCAGTGACATCTTTTGTTAGGCTTAATATTTATCCCCTTGTTTTTCATAAATACTTCTTTGAGTACAACGATCTCGATTATTTAACTTGTCGATTGGAAGTTACTGATTCCTATGAGTTAATTTCTTATTTTGACGTTCAAGAAAAGGGTACTTTTAAATTTAAAGGTGTAAGTTCCCATCAGTTTAGACTGGTTTTTAGTCTTTAAAGGTTCTGAATACATTATTCTGCTCTTGGGATTCTGCACTATAATGTCCTCCCATGAATTTATAATTTGGAGATGAAATAGGTTAATTCGCAGATTCTACACTAGAGAGGGATTGTGTGCTAGCTTCACTAAATTAAAAAAAGTTGGTAGGAAAGGCTAGAACGTCAATTATTTTGTCATCTTCGTCAGAATTGATTGTTTATTGAGAGTCGAAGCAACATTGTTTTTGCATTAACAAATTATTTATTTGAAAAATAGATTAGAAATTAGGATATGGATTAATATAAATGGTTGTTAGTAAGTTCAAGAAAAGCAAAATTAATTGATAAATAAACAATAAAATAAAAAGAATTTAGTATCTTAATTTTCACTTTAAATAGAAACCATATATGGAATTATTGCAGAATATACTGAGGGTTGTGAGAGTGCAAATGATAATTTGGAACTGAAGAATGTAAAATCGTTTTTCTTCTACAATCTATAATTTGGAGATGAAAATTGTAAAATATTAAATTAAATTAATTTAATAATATTAAGTTGTGTCATTTTGGGAGATGATGAGTAGTGGTGGCATCTCTTTGGTGTGAAGCAGTTAGGAGAGCCTCAAAAGTTTATAATAATAATCTATTTGACAAAACTGGTTATACAGGGATGAAACGGTGTAAAGGAACCAAGGGCAGGGTAGGGGTATGAGGATTGAAATGGTAGACTTTAAGTAAGTGGAAATGAATTTGGAGTGATTAATATAATTATAAATTATGAATCCTATTGACACCAGACAAATATTGAATTGGGATCAAGTCAAGGTGCATCTACAGCCCAATTTATGCATTGAATGCCAATTGGTTCCTTAATAACCTCTTCAGTGTTATCGATGTCAGAAACTGCTGTGCTAGACTTGTCACGGAGATCTAAAATAGAAATCGAGAGGGCCAAAAATATTTTGTTAGAAATGCAAAGCTCTCAATTATTTCAATCCTGCTAACAATGCCATTTACCAGAGTTACAGAGATATGGTAATTGGATGTGTAAATCGTCGATACGGTTGTAAAGTGACACTGGACTACAAGAAGTATTAGAAGCATGTTGAGGAGTGTGAGTTTCAACGTATACCGTGTCCATCTCCTGGGTGTTTCGTAACAACATTGAAACGAGCAAAGGGCGATCATTTGCAGGTGTGCGAATACGTGATTGAAACATGTTAGTATTGTAATAAGCAATTCAATCGGAAATCGATGGCTTATCATCAAGTAAGAGTTTGTTATAATGAAATGATAGGAAAAATGTAATGGAAAGGATGTGCAACAGATTGATTTGGCATCACTAAAGTCGGACTTCCTACGACTGAGGAGCAAATTGGATGCTGCCATTTCACAATTCGAGTAATCAGCTGAAATCGCCCTGCTAGAATAGAAGGTCATCAAATAGTAGTTAGAGATCCAACAATTGAAGAATAATATTAATTAATGAGTTATTAAGAATTTGATTCTCTTCGCTCCAGACGAATGTAAGTCTTTTCAATAGTAGGGCATTTTCACTGCACAAGCAACGATTAGCCAGCATCAAGGGATACGAGAATAAACAGATTTCCAGTGTGGTGGCCAAAGTCGAGAGAATGAGATCCGATTCCATTAACAGACGTAAGTAGGTAGAACAATAACAGCTCGGAGAAGAAAATCAACGCATAAAGTATTTAGGTCTTCCCTAATTTTAGAATTAAGTTGATGGAAATAGCAAATGAAAAGAAGGCATTATCTTAACAGGTCAAATTATGCTAAGCCAAAAAGAAGTTATAACAATTAATTAGACATTAGTAGAATATGATGGAGAATCTCATTTTGATGAAGAAGATCACCAACGTGTATTTATTTCAGTTCATCTAGAACTTCATCCATCACTCATCGAGTCTAATAATAAGATTTTCACCTCAGTAAATTCAAACAGCTTGACAGATATCTTCAAGATGATGATAAGAGTTTTCTTAAGTAACATTTATCCATATTCTCAAAGACCTTCACTCCTCCAGAGTCCCAACCATTCTTAATAAAATTCATAACACACTTAAAATACAAAAACTCTGGATGCCACTCACATCAAGTTGTCAGAATTAAGAGTTTATTCAAATGGATAATTACTTCAATGAAATATATAATAAGAAAACAATCAAATTTCTTAAGTTATCAGACACTCTCTCTTAAACAATGGTTCATCCTCCTCCTATCTTTCTTCAGATTTGATCTCCTCAAGTTTCTTTTTATTACTTCGTTATTTTGGAACTTAAACAACATTTTTGAAATGATCCATCAATTTATGAATTTATTCAGAAGAATGATTGAATTTCAACTTCTCATATTTCAAGAACTACTTAAATTTGACATTGAAATCCTTCTTTTCATACACCAATGCTCTATCTATAAACTGTTGACCCAATTCCTATGAATACACCTATTCAAAGAAGATGGTTCCAAAGTATTTCTAATTGGTTTTGTAACTCATCTCTGCAACTGTAATGTTGAACCGTTTCTCAAGATACTTGTAAATGAAGTCTGTCTTGTTCTTCTCCTATTAAGCTGAAACTTGTCTCTCTGAATTGCTATCAAACGAACTGATCTGAGGATACAACAAGGTTCCTCTTCTGTCCACACAAAGCGAAAGTTGAGGAGCAAGTACAGTTTGTTTATACCAACCGACTAATTAGCCCCACGCAAATAAGGAAGAGTAGGTCTTCCCCTCTGCCTTGCATTTCCTCTTGATCAAGCCTACTTTACCCCATTCGAGATCGTCTATTGGAGGAGACTGAAAGCCTTTATATTCTGTGGGTTTGAAGTATGTGTATGTGAATGCCATCATCTATAAGATCAAAGACAACCCTTCATAGTAGAAGGATTACTTCTATTGTAATAGTAAATGTGAGAGTACTAAGAATAGTAATCTTGTTAGTAATAATTATTCTTGAACATCATACAAATGTCTCTTATCTTGAATAAGAACAATCAATTCCATCAGCTTTTTCAATCCATGTTTCTAAAACAACTAATAAAGTTCATTTGATAATAAAGATTCATTAGTCATCCCCCAGAAATTCATGATGAGATCCTCGTTAGTAATTTTGGTTAATGGAGGTTCTACTGTATCACTCTACTTTAGGAAAAACTTAATCTTATCTAAGGTAAAAATTAAGTTCTGTATTCTTTCTTCAGAATGTAATTAAGCAGTAAATTAATTCCATTTTTCAGTTTCCTCATTGAGAATAAATTTAGTATCCAATTCAGCCTTATATATTATGTACCTAAGATTAATTCAATATATACTCTTCATCTATGAAAACAAGTAATTAGCATATCCAGCATTTTAACCAAAATGGACAACCTGTTAATAGACTGGATCCAATCTTATATTTGTCTAGTAGACTCTAATCAATTTTGAAGTTATCAAGACAAGAGTTAAAGAGGATCGCATTTCTCTTAAGGAAGCAATGAGTTCTGTCTAAAATGGCATTGTATTCTCTTTGATTGGATAATCCCAAATAATATTTCTTACAATTTTCACTTCCACATAAGCATAAGGCTTACAATTGTTCTTGTTTACTCTCAGTGAATGAACAATAATCAAAAGTCAATTCTTCTCCAAATTATATATCACGCATAGCATACATCCCAATGACATAAGTGCCATTGCTGACTGTAGTGACAGTGCCACAATTGGGATTACATGAGTGACTTAATCTAGATGAAAAGTTGCCTTTGTTGATTGGGTCAACGAAGAGTATATCGATGCCATCCTCATCATCGAGATGTCTATCCAACATGATATTATAAAAGTCTGGGAGAATATCCTTTTTGTTTTGTTCTTTCATTTGTTTTTTAATAAAGTCCTGCTTTTCATACCATCTCCAGGGCTAGTAGATTTCACCTAAATATGGTATGATAAGAGAATTAGTTTTGATGCCGAATTTGTTTACACAAACCAGACCACATCCCTTAGTGTGGATACGGAATCCTCCTCCATCAAGTTTGATGACTCTTTTGATTGATTTGGCCATCTTTCTATCATCCTTATTATATAGACTGGAAAGCATTCTGGACTCTCGTATGATGTAATCACATGCCAATCCCATATCATAGCCTCTCTCTTTATCGTTTGGTCTATTGATGGCCAATATCAATTTCTCAATAAATTGGTTCTTCTGAGACTCGACATAGTTCAACGGCAATATGTTGATAATCACATTCCTAGTGTAAACATCAATGCCCCAACACAAGGTTTCCTTAAATAAATATATGACATTATCGTACTTCCACATCTGCGTTATCCCCAAAATTTGTTCTATTAGTTAAATATTATTTTAATTAAATCTGCATATTTGAACACGGTCTATCAGTTCCTTCATGTTCTCTACATTCAATTCTATTACTTCTATTGGGACATTCGGAATCCCATTTGATTTCTGAATAATTGAAAGTTCCCATTCTGCTCAAATCGAAACAAACACAATCACTCTTGCATTTAACTGGAATTTTCTTGCTTGATAACTTTTCCTTAATCTGAGAAATGTGGGGCTCCTCATTTGGATTAGGTTCAAAATCTTGGATTTCTATGTAGGTACGTATTTCCTTCTTTTCAGGCACAACGGGCCAAATGGTGGAGAATACTTTAAATTCGGTATTCATTTAAAGAATATTGTATACTTCCTCCTTAATGAGTTCAGAGAATTCTTGAATCACTGTTCTTATCTTTGGCTTCGCATCATCCCAGACCCTGGACAAATAATAGTAGGATTATTGGTTTCGGCATTTCAGGTAAATGTTACCAAATAATTTATGCAAATCCTTTATTATTTCTTAAATATCCCAATACTACCGGTATTCCACTCTTTTTCTGAATTGATGCAAATAACACAAATTGCTCTTGAAATTGATAGGCTATTCTTTTACTGTATTATACCTTCATTAATTGCGCTGCCTCGTCGTACTAATACTCATACTCCTTGTCAAACCATTCTCTATATGAGTCTTTTGGATTGCCCTCGGTATTCTCAAACTCTGCAATTAAACCACTCAATTCCTCACTATCCAAAATATTCCTCGGATCACTCTGAACCAACTAATCCACAACTGTTTCCAAGTGTTTCCATGCATCTTCTCTCTTAACAACTTGAGTTTTCACTTTTTTCTTATTCTCCACCATTCCCACCATATTATTTTTCTTCCTCTATTTTTTTATCTATTTCGAAATCGAGTCGCTCTTCTTCTCCTCCTCGGCACTACTGCTTTGTTTCACCTTCATTCCCTTTGCACGCTTCAAACTCATCTCTATATTAATTTTAATTTTATATGGGAATTCCATAACCAAAACAAACTCAATCCCAACTTTTTGAAGAAACCCTCAAATAATTCGACATAATTGACAAATAATCTACATACGTACTATTTCAGAATAATTCTACAATGCAAAAGTTAGAATATTGGACTTTCAAGTATCATGATGAGGACTCCTTCAAGAGAGCAGTAAAAGATCTGACTCCTCTGAGAACCTGTCAAACTCTGCTCCAAATCTTCAAACAAAACACCTTGACTCACGATGAATTCTGTTCTACATTCTATGAACTCCAATTACTCGTTGAACATCCAATCCAAAGTTTTGCAGAGTACCTTCAAAATAGAGGACAACATGATTACTCATCTAAAGAATTGTATCATCTGATTGATTGCGTAGTGTTCGCTCAATTAAACCTCGATAAGAAACAATACATAGGATTCAATAATCTATGGCAAGGTGAAAATGATGTCTGGAAATTGAGAAGCTTTGATTACTCCTACCGACCCATTGACTTCTGGGGAAAACAAATACCCTACTTGTATCCAGCACCAGAAGACTTCAAACAGGATCCCTCGCTTAAGTATTCCCTTGAAAAATCAACCGTCTTCACCTTTGGCATGCTCCTTCTCCATGTTGCATTAGGTATTACATCAGCATAACTAAGCATAGCCAAATCATGCGACTCACTTTACCAGAACAATACTATAGATCATCAAAGAATGACAACTAGAATTGCTGAATTCTACAAAAATTATCCCACCACTCTTGCAGATATTATTGCCAATATGCTCTAATTCGATCCTAATCAAAGATGCACTTACCAAGATATTCAAAATATTCTGAAAGAAGCTCAACAATGTAAGATAACTGATAGCACTAATCTACTCTTGAAGATGCACAAACAGAGCAATAGCTAATCTAAATTATAAGGAAACCCTTATAAATCTCCTGTAGAAACCTCAAGATTGATGAATATTCCACTCTATCCAGAATAAACTTTTTTAAATTCTCAATCAATCCCTGGAAATAATAGTTTACCAAATCATACTAATCCATTACAATCCAATAATTAATAATTGATATCCACCATCTCCTAACAATAATAGATAGACAATAAAGAACCTTAGACTCTTTTACAAAACTGGAGTCAATCAAGGTCAGGTAAATTATAATTTGGTGATGGAAGATACTACGAGGGAGAGATCATGAATGAATAAATGAATGGTAAAGGTGTTCTGTATAATTCTGATTCTACGGTTGGGTATGATGGTGAATTTTTAAATGGTTAATTCCATGGGGTTGGAGTTTAATTCAATGAAAATCCTGATATCATGGATACTTTCCTTAATATTAATGAATTTCCTGGTATTTTGAATTATTGGGTAAAATATGAGGGTGAATTCTCTTAAAATAAGTATTTTGCATATCAGTATTAGAAAACATGGAATCGGAAGTATTACATTCTCAAACAGTGATTGTTACATAGGGGGATTTCAGAAAGATTAAATGAACGGAAGAGGCACTTACACTTAAAAATATGGGTAAACTTATATTGGGTTTTGGGAATGTAATAAACTAAAATATTGATTCATTATTTATTTATTTTAATATGGAAATTGAAGAGTCTTATCAAGAGGCTAGATAAATTTTAAGTCAGAATTTAGAAAAAGGCAGAGCCAAATTAAGTCCTGATGAAAAACTAAAATGTGATATTGCTTAGGCTATCATTTATGAACATGACCAAAAAAGATTATAGGCTGCTTCTATCTTCTATAATTTAAGCTAAAAGAAACCAGAATACTTTTAAAGAGCCATCATCAATGGATTGACTGCTCCTGCTTCTGCAAAGAGACAGGCACTTCTTCTCACAATCTATAGGGACAGCCGAATTTAAAAGTCAAAATGGCTTCCTTTTATTAAATCTAAGTACTTTGGTTTAAATTATTTATTCTAGTGTACTTTAGGATCTATTAAAGTGGAATGATATTGAAAATTTCGCCAGAGAAACTAAAGTAAATCCCAATTTATTTTGTGAACATATCATCACAGCTATTAGTCGATTTTACAGCAACATCTCCATATAGAAACTGGCTCAGTATTGTAAATTGAAATAGGAAGAAGCTTATGAACTTTTAGAGAACATGATCATCACGGAGAGACTACAGGCCTAAATTGATCAATAATAAGGATATATCTAATTTTAACATAAGGAATAATGCACAATAGAAGAATTCTGTACAAATTTGTATAGTTTATGCTAATGAATAATTATCTACAATTATAATTCATTAATAATAATTGAATTCCTCTCTAATGTTTAATTTTAATTATGAAAAGCTTTCATTCATATTATTATAACATTTGAAAACACCTGAAATCATCCATTGTCCTGTATTCGTCTTTTCCATACATTGTTAGAAATCATCCTTCAATAATTAAAATTAATTCTAAACGAATTTATCTGCATCTTTCAAACCTTAAGTGCATTCGATTACACAAAATCTTATTGACTGTCTATCCTTAAAAATATCATCATAACAACGATTCCTAAGACAATTGGTGATCTAACTCTCATATTAAATATCTACTTTATTTTGTAACACCGAATATTCAAGCAATAAGAACTTGTTCACCTCTGTTATATTCTTATTGTATTCGATATAAAGATCGGCAGCTGTCTACTTTTCTTGTTCATTCAAGATATCCTTTTCAAAGAATTTTTGAGCGTTATCATCGATAGTGTTTTTTAAATTATGTAAATATGGATATTCTCCCTCTTTAGCTGTCCTCATTAATATTAAATATAAAAATTCATTCTCTATATTTATGCTACTTGATCATGTTCTAGATTTCATCAAGTACCTTTATTTTACTTTATTGAACGTATTTTTATTAAACTACCGTATTTTTCAAAGCTTCTCTCTCCCCAAGCAATTTTTCATTTTCCAAAGATTTCACTTTTTCTTCAAGCTAAAATTGATTATTGAAATATAAATTACAAATTTTTATTCATTCTCTAGATTCTTTGAATTCTATTTGCTCTTCAGATACTTTGCTTTGAATTAATTAGTATGTTCTTCTTGTTATTATAACTATCTTTTCAAATCAGAAGCATTTCGCTTCCATTCATTTGCCTCTTCCCTAGCAACATGCACTTCTGTAACCAGAGAATCAACCTTCTTCTCAATATGTAAGATCTCCTACAAATTGTAAATGATGTATTTATACTTATTCTTATTATTGTCTCATGTAGTCAATCTCTCTATCTTGTTCGTATAACAAATGCTATAATTTTCTATTCTCTTATTCACAAATCTCAATTTCATGATGTAATCTTTATTTCTCTTTCTAATCGATCTAGTATTGAACATCATATTTTGATATTTTTTCATCCTAAATTTAGAGACTCTATCTATATTTCTCCATTTCTCCTTTAAGATCTCTTACTTCTTGAACTTTAAATTAAGTCTCATTGAGTGCTTAATCAGTTTTGTGTTTCTACTCCTCAAGTTAAGAATGCAACCTCATCTATTCACCTTGTAAGTCTTATATTTGTTTATTAACTATAATATCTTCTTTTGATTTTTCTTGTAATTTCTACTCTAATTGCTAGATATAGGATTGCATCTATTTAGTTTTTTATTTCTTTTTCTACAATGTCTCTTGCAATTCACCAATCAATCCTTGTTTCTCTTAATCTAATTTCCCCTACAACATTTGATATCTCGTATCAGCTTATCTTAATTGTTCCTCTAAGTCTTAAACTCTCTTCCCTTAATTTTCTATTGTAATTTACAAAATCTTTTTCTCATCCATAAATTCTTAAATTTTAGCTCTTATTTTATTTGTGTTTTCCCTCTCTTCTTAAATCATCATTTCTAAATATCTTCTATCTTCCTCCTTTTAATCCAGCAGCTATTTAAAATGCTCATTTTCATCACTCAAACAAATTAGTCTCTTTTCTGAATCTTTTCTAATGAATCATTAATCAATTAATCTTACATTTCAATTGAGAAGTCCTCACACAATTTCTACACTCTGTCCAATTCTTATTGGAATCCTAGTCTCTAATCTTCGAACTTACTCTAAACACAACATCAAATGTAATTTTACATCATTCTTTTTTTGAGATTCTTTTAGTAATTGAATTTTTGCTTTCTTTTTCATCAATTTCTATTTAGCCTATGATAATTAGGCTTTTAGTTCTTCAGCAGTTCGTGTTTGTTAATCTTCTTTCAAAATCTATTCCTTCTATTCTTGCAATTGATTATACAGATTCTCCTATTATTCTCTTAGTTCCTTCTCATACTTTTCGATAAGATCATCTTTGCCTCTAATTGTGGATTCCAGTTCCTTTGTTTGATCAATATATTCCTTAAGAGTTATCTATTTTAATTATTAATTCAATTTTATACTTTAAGCTCTTTATTTAAACTTCTCATTTTGTTATACTTGTCTCTTGATACGTACTCCTTTTCTTTGTCCTCCTTGTAATTTTTGTCAGAACGTATTGTAGTATCATTCTTCCCGCCCGATTAACACAATTAATCGATCACTTATTTCGAACGATTATATCTCTCCAACAATCGTGAAAAGTCCTTTTCTATCTTTTCTGTTTGACCATCTCTCAAATTCATTTTTAATATTCAAATTTATTAACTGATTTAAATTATGTAAATAACAATTATTTTATCAATTACAACCTTATCTCAATCAGAGTGATCCTACTCAGTTACATTCTATCTTCATCTATGGCTCTGATAATAGAAGAAAGTGAAAAAATAATAGGATTAATGTAATTAGTTTTATTACAAAATAATTTAAAAATTCATATATTATATATGAATATCAAATTTTGTACTATCATTCATGTTCCTCTTATTGCTAATTAGATTTATAATAATTTTGATTATATTATTAAAATGAAAATGCTTAGCTTTGTTCCTTAGGCAATGAATTTTATAATTGCTATTTAAGTAACTTATCAGTAGTCAGCTATAGCTAGGTTTACATCTCAATATTTTATTCACGCAAATATTAATTTTCAACTTCCAATTATTGTAACTTGTCTTTCAATTCAGTCAACTCCTCAATCAGATTATTCTAATCGGAACCAATCTTCTATCCCTCCTATACTTATTGGGAATCACTTGATTTCCTGCTCTTAATTTATTGATACTCGATCTCGTTCCTATAATTCTTATATCGAATTTTCCATTTTTCTTTTTTCTCTTAAACTTTACCTAATTGCTTGAGCTGCTCTTATAACTTCTTATTGCTCTCAGTTAATTGATTTATCTGGCTTTGGTGAAGATTGTTGTCATTCTCCAATTATTTTATCTTGTCCTCCTTTGATGTGCCTTTCGTTTAAATTTCCACCAATTTTTAATAGAAAGAATTCCTCTCCACTTTTATTTCCTAATAATTATCTTGGATGATTTTGTATTGCAATTTCATTTCTTATAGCTATTACTTCATTGATTCATTTTATTCTGATAATTGTTTTATTTACTATTCCAAATTATTATCGGATTCCAGAGTTTTTTCCATGCATCTGAACTTATGATACTATTCCAAATAGCTCTAGTTTTTCTATCTGCTTTTAATAAATAATTACTTGTAAGTGTACTATAGTTTCTATATTTCATGCTATTGTCTTATTGCTTAAATTTATTGCTTTAATAATAGGTTTTCCATTTCACAATCATGTAGGGCGGATGATTTCCTAATGTATTGGTTATTTAAATCATCCAATTCTAGCTCTAACAATTTCCTTTGCTAATTTGATCTATGCAATTCCTATTCAAGTTGATTACATTTTATTATCTGATCTGTGTTACACTTAAAAGGAGACTTAGAAGTGCAGGACTCCTAAAACGAAGCCCGAGTTCCTCTTGACGTATTTAGAGTGAGATTGAACTTTTTTTTTAACGGACTAGATTACATTTTATAATTATTTTTACAGAAGCAAAATAGTTCATTTGATTATTTTTCAATATTTTTACTCATTACATAACGAACCACCATTAGGGTTCACAATATTTTATTATCTCAGAATAATGTAATAGTTTAAGAAGAAGGTTCTTAATATTATTAAGCTAAGTATTTGTAATTCAGATTGGAGATACAAATTATTGGTTATTATATTATTAATTTTTATATTGAATCAGTGAATTGAATAACTTTAAGTATTAATTACGAATAAATAAAAACAAATTAAAATCATTAGAAAATAGTTCCTTTCAGGAATCGATTTCGATGCTTTTTTCAGTAATTTGATTTAAACTGCTCGAAGTTTAGAGATGTAACCTCTTGATTCTTCTGAGTGTCTTTAATTTTTGAGAGACTTAAGTTATTGCATCTCTTCTGTCTACTAACTTGTCATTAACATCTTGACGCATAATTATCATTTTGAGTATTGATTTTTCCTCTTTGGCGATATATTTTTGATCATAGAGAGTTTGCACATACTTAAGAGCATTTTAGAAGTAGGTTTGTGTCATTTAAGAAAAATTGATTTTTATATTATATAATTTTAAATTATATCAAATTAAGTTAAAAGGGGATTTTATTTTTAGTTTATTTTTGGAAAATTAATTGTATTTTGGATATATATTGGTGATAAAATAATGCGTATTAATTTTATGTTATTTATTTTAAGATGCGCAATATTGGCGATGTTGGTGAAAAAAAATTATATATGGCAAGAATTCTAGAAGCATTTCTCATATTCTAAATAACTAATAATTGGTTAATATATGGTTTTGGAGAAAATATATACACACAAATCTCACTGAAATATTTTTAAACAGGACTTTCAAAACACCTCTTCATCGGTCTCCTCATCAATTATAAGGAGCGAGGCCTACTTGATCGTGGACTCCCTTCTGTATTTTCTAATTAATTATAAAAAAAAGAAAGAGAGTTATTCTGCACTAATTGTAGAGGGTATTTTAAATTCATTCCTAACTATTAGATCTTTCAGGATAAGTTTCTCCTCCTCATTAACAAGTTTAAGTTCACCAAGGGAGCGCAAGGTTTAAAAACACATCCTAAAAAAGGATTCATTCATCATTAATAATATTAATATGCTCTTTTTTTTATTGTGCTGAATTTAAATTAATTGAGCCAACTCTTTTATTAATACATATAATAATATTTCTATTAAGTGTGATTAGTAAGAATCGTTCTATTTAATACATTCGTAATAACTATTCCTTTTCATTTTTAGCTGAATCACACTTCTAGTATTGTATTCGTTACAAATTTGATAAAAGTACTGCATTCGCTTAGAAACTATCAGGAAGCATCTAATGAGTGTTTATTTTAAATGAAGAAAACGATGTTATCAAAGTTAGTTGCAAAATAATGAACTTAATTAGAAACATATTTAAATCCATTTAAGCATTTACAAGTTTTTATTTTCCTTTCTTTCTTTCATAAATAATCTTAGAAGAGAGCTATGAGAATGCAATTTAATAGGAGAGGTGATTTATTCAGGAATGATTAATATTTTAATATTATTTTAGCAAATAAACCGAAATTAGAATATTTTAACTTTTTTATTTGTAACAATATCTAATCTGAAAAATAAATCACAAAGTAAATATACTTTAAATAATATTGATAAAAAAGAAATAATTCAAGATCCCAAAATAATATTTTTGAACATTTCCATTCTTAGACTGCTTCTTTCTTCAGTCCTTATACTTGATTCGAACAACTATTTCTTAACATCATGAAGCTTGATCATCCTTTCCTCTACAGTCTATTTGCAAATTAATCTATAAACATGTGTCTCTTTTGTCTAACCAATTCTATAAACTCTTTCTATAGCCTATTCTTCTACAGCAGGATTCCTTTCATGATTTATTAATAAATTTACCACCAAGGATCTATCATAATGACATGATTGGCAGAAGTTAAATTTAATCCAACCCCACCAGCTTTGAGTGAAATTATAAATATCCTGTATTCATCGTCCTCTTTGAAAGTCTTCAACACTTCGGCTCTCTCCTATTATGGCATACTTCCATCCAATCTCTAAAAATATCAATCAATAATTTACTAAATGCTTAATTTTCTAATTATCAAGATCAAATTCAATCATTTGTATCATGCCAATAAATTGAGTGAATATCACACATTTTTCATTCTTTGGAATAGCGTCCAATATTTGCATTACTTTTTCTATTTTACTTGATCTTTTATAGTTCTCCTTCCAATTTAAACTAAATGAACTCTCCCTAGGCAAAGTCATAGTATCCTATTTGGTTAAATATTTCCTGCAATACGGACATTCACTGGAATTAGCTAAAATACCATATAAACATAATCGACAAAGAAAATGCAAACAAATAGTGACAATTGTATCTTCAACCTATTCTAAACATACAGGACATGGTGGAATATCATTTTCTTTGACTCTCCTCAAAACTTCTTGTTTATATTATTGTTGATCTTAACAGATCTAAACTTATTAATTGTTCATTAACAGTTCCTCTTAATCTTCTCTATCCAAAGATTGACTACTAAGGAATTTATCAATTTGCTCTTCCAATTGATCAATATTCTTGACATCACTTCTAGATGTGATGAGTAAGGGATGATCACAAATTTGTCTGAGTCTAATTAAGAGTTCAAACACTTTCATATATTGAGACATTAAGATTCCTTTGGCTAAGTACCCTTCAACTTCATCCTGAGATTTCTTCTCCATCTTATCATAGACCATTCTCTCATCCTTCTTTAATTCTATGTATTCAAAATGAATTTCTTTATTGGGTAAATTGATTATGGGCCTTCCATTTTGATCCTTGCTCTTCTTGGTTCTCCTTAACAAAATTGGTCTAAGGATGGAATTTAATAGAGGAAATATATTATCCTTCCCTTCCTCATGGGGTTTATTGATATATGCATTCCACCAGAGATAATCAGACCATGGTTCTAATTTAATAAAGTGGATTAGACTAAACATATCATTAAGATTATTCTAAATAGGTGTACCAGTTGAACACCATCTATAATAACAATCTAATTCATAAGCTCCTTAGGCAAGTAATGTTGTTCTCCCCTTTATATAATGAGCCTCATCCAGAATTACTCTGTACCAACTATAATTGTACACTGAGTAGGGATCTTTGGAGGGTTTCTTAAATTCTACACTAATTGTATGATATGAACTGACCACCACATCATATTGGCATAAATCTGATAGATTTCTTTCAGCCCCAGTATATTGAAATATTCTCAAATGCTAACTACAATGATAATTCAATTCATCTTGCCATTATTATAACAAACTCACCGGAACTATAATTAATGTCCTAGCCCACTTCTTCTTCTTATAACCTACATAATCCCCAATCCATTTCTTCCCACTTTGATTCTAATTCTTTTTTGTACTTTTATGATAGTAGTCCTAAGGAGTTTTAAATGGATTAGCCAAAATCAAAGAAATCAACATAACAGTCTTACCCAAACCCATTTCATCGGCTAGAATGCCTCCATTACATCTTCGAGAAGAGGATGGAAAATCCAAAGAAGACTAACCTGAAAAGGGATTGAAATATATTTTTAAGCCTTGACTAGTTTAATACTCTTTCCATAAAGGATGTAAAGCATTAGAAGAGCTTTCGTCATCCACTTTAATCACTCCTTCTCTCTACAATAACCATGTTAATGCTTGTTTCTAATAATCAAATAGTTTAGAGCCCAATTATTTTGGACCTTGATGCATCTCCAAATCATGATGAGTACAATTATTAAAGCCTAGGAACTTATCGCAATCTATTTCTACATTCATTTCATTTTAAGTCTTCTCCCTTTCTATTTCTACTTTCATCATTTAACTCTAATCTGAAACATTATTTTTTAGTTTAAAATCATTGAGAGATAATTGTTTTGGCTTCTACTTAAATGGGTCTTCCTAATAGGTCACTGCCGTTTTACTTAAGGTGTTATTATTACTATTCTCTTTTATTTCCACACTGCTGTTTTCGATTTTTTTCTTATCAATAAAATCCACTTTAGTAGAAGTTATCAATTTGCAATTGACTAAATCATATAACTTTTAAAAGTTATCACTATATCTAACAAACTCTTGCACAGCATCATCAAACTAATCGCTTGTTCCATCAGATAATGCCTTCTCGTTTAGAAACACATCAATTTACAATAATATTAAATCATGTGTCTTACATAGGACCTAGGATTGAACATGATATCCAATTATTTTTACATAGTTCTCCTATAGCAATGGACTAAATAGATCCTCGTATTCTGAATTCAATCGACCTATCTAATATGATTACATAAACTTACTTCTCGGTCATTGTGGCCTATTCTAATTATGTTTTATCCTTTCACAATTTTATTTGATTTTTTTCCTTTGTCAACTACTTTGCAAGTCCCATCCAAAATAAGTTGGATTGGTTATTATTGTACATCCTTCAAATTCTGACTTCCCAAAGCATAACCTTTGATTTTTGCACTTCCTATAAAGAGTGGAAATGTAATGCCGCGGTTAATAGTTGTTTCTCCTGAATTCAGTTTTAACCCAGAATTTTAGTTTTTTTTTTCATTATTTTCTGATTCATCGGTTTATTTAGTTTCTCGTTCTTCCAATATTTAATCTTTCTATTCCTTAGTCTTATTCTACTTCTTTTTATTTTTTTATTATTAATTCTGTAATTATGTGTTTTTTTGCTCTTCCTCATTTTTTTATTATTTCAACACTTCTGAACTCTATCTAAATTTAGCTTGTCTTTTTTCTTAAGCATATTGAATTGCAATCTCCTCAATATCGTTTGTTTATTGGAAATCTAAATTTCCAGAGGGTTTGCTCAAAACTATCTATTGATCCAAGCATTCCTCGATAGGCTTTTAATATTCCTAATTTAAGTCCTTCAGAATCTTTTATAACTATTATTGTTTTTTGGCTCCTTCCATTAATTTTGTAATACCCGCAGTTGGCTATTATCTCTTCTTTCTCTCCTCAGCTTGATAAAAGTAGTTTAATGCTAATTCTATGTCATTTTTGCCATATCGCAAATATTACTTGGCTTTCTCTTCATTCATTTATCCTCCTGAAATTGCAATCATTTATTGAACAAGTTCTTCCATTTTATATTATAAATTTAAGACTAATTAATTTATTATTTAGAGGGAAAACATAAAAATTTAATTTTGAAATTTAGTAAAGGTATAAACACAACACTTTTATTATAATTTTATAAAAATGTAATAATTTATATATTTTCCAAACTTCTCCTTCGGTTTCAATAGCAACAGATGAAAAATAGCTGAATTCAAGATTGCTTTGTTAATTTTAACAATCAACAAAATATTATATTTTTAAGTTTAACATTATTTAAATACAAAAAAGTCAAAACAATCTTGCGAATTAAATAGGAGAGCAAGGGAATTCTGAAAATGGTGATAGTTGTCCAATTATATCTTCATATAATGGCTCCATAAGATCGCTAGCGTATTCTGGCTTATGTCCAAAAATCAAATGGAATAGCAAATGCATAGGCTTTTCATATACTTCTCTCCGTTGTTCATTTGTGTAATTCTCTTTAAAGTGCTATAAAGTAAAATCGGAAAAAATACATCAACTATTGCATTAATTTTTTTTGCAATTAAAAATTATATCTGAAATTGAATTCTCATTTGCATTAGCAACTTTTGTTACTATTTCCTCAGGATCTCTAGTTGATTTCTCATATTATTGATCGATATTTGAGGGGTAATACTTTCAAAATATTGTTCTCCATTTTCTTTTGCTTTTTTCCTTCTTTAAATTTTGTGAAGTTCTTAACTAAAATAGCCATAATTCGTACTAGTTGCCTTGGAAAAAGAGAGGGTGATTGTAGATTTTCTAATTTTTTTCATTTTTTTTCATCTTAAATCCATACAAACTCAACTGCCTTAAAAATGATTAAAAATTCTATGTGTTAAAAAATTCTTCCATAATATTGCTTTGAAATTCCGGAATTCTTAAAATCTAAAAACCTTTTCCATCCTTTGTCCAACGAATAGTAGTCTAAAAGCTTTCTTTCTATTTAATATTTACGATCTTCATCTTACTTCCAAAATATCGTAAAGGATGGCTATAAACTTGGCTGGTTTGCTCATGAAATTGTCAAAAAGTAATAAAAAATATATAAAATATTATCAAAATAATTAAATTCGGAAAAGAGGATAAAAATTATAATTATATATTAAACATATGACCCATCCAAATTTTATGATTTCATTCTTGTAAATTTTTAGTTTAAATAATTTATTCCTAATTCGTTCTATCAGTTTAATTTTTTTTTGAAATAAGTAACATTACATAGAAATTTAGTACGATATTTTTTATTTAAAAGTGATCAATTATAAAATTATTAGTTTTAATTTAACAGTGAAATTACTACTACAATTCTGAAAGTCAATTATTGATAAAGGAGTATTAATAATAATAAACAAATTCTTAGTATTAGCAGCTATAATTTTGATTAGAAAAATGGTTAAAAACTAAAATAGACTGGAACTAAGGTAATTTAGGTTCATGCTTGGCTTTCTCTCATGCTGGTTCAGTTGAAAGGAGTGCTTCTAAAAAAAAGCACTGATATCAGATTAATAATTAATTGATCTTATGAAGATACAAAAAAAATAATTCCATAGGGGTCTTGAAAATTTTAGTAATCCCTTAGGTCTAAAAGAATGGTTTCACTTCTATAAATTGGTAAAAATAATAATGCTAAATGTAAACTTGATAATACAAATTATCTAGGTTATTAGTTGTATCTGCTTGTCAGCTTAATTTATTAGTTTAATAGATCTTTGTTCACATGCTCCTATATCAAGTTGAAATTAATGATAATTTTGTGGACATTACTATTGTAATTACTCTGCATGTTTCATTTAATCAAATACTGTTTTTGTTTTTGCCAGTTCTTGTTAATATAGTCAGAATGATGCCATTGATATATGAAAATATAAATTGTTAAACCATGTTGCCTACTGACTTTTAAAGGGAAAAGTTTGGATTATAAGGAATTCAGGAGGAACTTTATGGTGAAAAAGGATATCGTAGATTACTAACTTAGGATGACTATGCAGTTTTCAAAATGAATCCTATATTTATTACCTTGAATGAATTCCAAATTGTATATAAATAATTACACATCTTATTTTTATGAAAATATTATCTAAGTTGATTGATTTAACATTTCAATTATTATTTAATATTTATTATGAAGCAATCTTAAATTTTTACAAAGAGTTTTTACTAAACTCATGATAAGAATACGAGAAAATTTCTAATAGGTTAATAAGTTGAAATGGAAAAGCAACCGAAAAAAAATGGAAAAATATTGTCTAGGTAAGTCAGACTGCAGGAGACAAATATGATTCAAATTAAAAATTAAAAGACAATTAAATACCCAAATGGTTTCCTTTTGATTACTAAAGTATTGCTGTGTAATAAATTAGTAAGAGTTTGAAAAGTTACCAGAAAATCAAAAGACTTTTTTCAGATGGACAACCAATTAGAGCAAGAATGTTAGAATATTATTTGATCGTTCTTCTGAAGGATTGAATAAGACATAAATTTAACAATTTGAAAAACCCACAGCAGTTTATTTTGACAATATTGAGGCAGGCATAAGATTTGCAGAATTTTTGAAGTTCAAAAATCAAGAGAGACTCAATCATTTCAATGATAATCTTACAAGGATCTAGTCAGTTTGGTTTCATTTATCAAGTTTGAAGATAGTTGAAAGCTCAATTGAAAAAATGAATAATGAAGCTCAATAAATTCAATATTAGCAACTAAAAGAATAAAATGAATTTCTATTAGACTTCGATGAATTGCTTGATTATGATAAACCAATATATGAAGAAATGCTAAATATCCTATTTAAAAAGGCTGAATATGAGGAAAAGCATAAAAAACAAAATATTAAGCAATAAAAAGTTGAGATAATGAAATAATCAGAGAATTTTTTCAAGAATAAGGAGGTAAAAGCAATAAGATAATTGCTTTATCTTTGGAGATAAGTTGCAGGAGGTATTTTAAGAGAAAATGAAGAGTTAGAAGAATATTAATAAAGAGAATTGGAAGACGAGGAAAGAAAACTGTAAACAGAGATTGATGCTATTGAAAATGAGTAGTAAAGAATCTCTTAAATATAGTAGTCTCAAATTTAGCAGCAGCATTAATAATAAAATTTACCTTAATATAAAGATCTACATCTTACTAAATTTAAACTTATAATAGGCTAACATATTAAATTGTTTAATCCTATTTTGTATGTTTACTTTAAGGGTTTAGAATCCAACTATCAAGGTAAAATAGAATTTGATAAAGGTCAAGAGATCAATTTTATGTAATTAGATAAGAAGGGATGGACAGCTGAGCTTGAGGTGACTTTGTCTGGATTTCAGATGTAGGATGCTTTAGATATAGTGATTTATGATGACTATCAGGAAGTAAATGAGAAGATTTTGGCTAGAGCACAAGAAGAATAAAATAACATTTTGGCTTTTTTGGCTACTGCTAAGAAGGTTATGCAAGGTAGAATTTATATGAGAGATTTCGAGAAAAACTTAAATAATAATCGAAGACATTTTGCTAGTTTAGAAGTGTCAGCGAATTTGTAATAAAAAGTGACAGGTAATTAATTACTAAATGTTCCTATGATATAAATGGACATTTATGAGGATAGTCCCTTTTCGATTTTAAATTCTACTGTTAATCCATTTTACTTAGATATTATTGAAGTGCCATTTACAGCTCAGGAAATGAAGTATTTTGCAAGACAACTAAAATCTCCTTTTAATAGTTTGTAATAGTAATGGGATTCATTCAAAGTTGAAGCTTTGGAATTTGCTCTTCAAGTTAGAGGGCAGATTTGGGTTAATAGTAAATAATCAGAGGATGATTTGATTGAAATTTAAGAGTTCATTGTAGAAGAATAAGGAATTGAAGAATAAAAAGGTAAATTTACTTTGCTTGCTGAATATTTGTAAGTAAACCCGATTCAAAATAAATAGGATTTTGTGAAAAATAAATTAATTTAGGCATGTAGGAAAGGGTTTACTAAATAATCTAGGAATGAATTGATTCCTATTTTCCTCTAATTTAATAACAAAATTACAAAATTCTTGCAAGACATTGGAATAGAGTGGAATCAAAACGAAAGCATTTTAGATCTCATTTAGAATGAAATAAATTAGTATATAGAGTAAGATACTATATTGTCCAATCATGAGAAAGTTTAACATTACTTAGATAGTTTATAATTTAGATAGACTACTGTTTGGACAGATCAATATATTAAGAAGTTGTAATTATTGAAAGATAGGATTGCATATCTGTTGAATTGTTTTGAGTTGAGTAATCATAAGAAAAATTAATTGATTTTGACTGTAAGATTGTTCCAACTTTTTAATTTAAGAGAAGATTGTGATGATTATGTTTTGAAAATAATTTTATGTTTAGATTACAAACTAATGATTCCAAAAATGTAATGTGATAAACTAGATTTTTAATGGTTTAGGACTCATATGAATAATCTATTTAGTGATTTCTTTTATTTTGATATATGGTTACGGGTATTTGATTATATAATTGGGATAGGTTTTGTAAATGGAGATTTTGACAGGGCAATAGCCAGTGTGATTGGTGGAATTCTAAATGAAGTGGACTCTAAAAAATATAGAACCAAAGAAGAATTCATAACAGGGCTGACTATTTATGGTAAGTTGTTATGTGATCCTGAAAAATTGATCATGGCATGTTATAACTCATATAATCATCAGGAATTCATATATTTAGAATCTGATGAATAAATCTTAGAGATCTTGACCTAAAATGGTAATCCATCAGAGCAGATTTGCAAAGATCAGATCTAATAATAATAATAACAATCTCATTAATAAAGTATTATTATTGATGTTCCTGAGGAACATGAAGGTTCTATTTATGAGATTCATGAATAGTACTAATAATCAGCAACTTAGTAGAGATCTCAATAAAAGTATCTATTCAAGTAAAAAGTTGAAAAGATTCATATTTTAATTCATTCTATGTATTTGCATTAAATAGTCTTCCATGAATAAAATGTAGTTACAATATAGAATCAAAGAAAAAATGAATAGGATGGATTATATTTTGAATTGCCATTCACTTCTTAGAGTGTGGATATTTAAATAAATGAGAATTTTAAGGCATAAATTGATATTGGTTACTTATTAGTAAATACTATATACAAGAATACATTAATCTTAAATGACAATTATGATATGGAAAGAAACTATTAAATATCTGAGTTAGAATATTCAATTTTGTTAATAGGAGAAGGATTGCCATATGAAAGAGTGATGAGTAAAGACAATGCTATAAATAGTTTTAATGACCTTGCATAAAAATTCAAAGTTTAGCACAATTTCTCCTAGCATCCAGATGCATTTAAACTAGGGAATGTATTAAGTTTTGCAGACTTCAATTAATTGATGCAGCATTACTTTAAATTGGATCAAGCATCATATAATTTGGATGAATTATATTAAAAATTTATGTTAAAAGGGAATTAATAAATATACTTAATTGATATTTTGTTGAAGTTAAATTAGAATAATTAGAAATAATTGGAGGTCTTAAATTTATTCATCCCAAATGAAAAGATCAGTCATAAACAATTGAGGAGAGAATAATTAGAAAATAATGGAGATGTTAAATTTTTAAAAGTAATACTATCTGATGAAAATTATGGGTAAAGTGTAGATTTAACAACTTATTTCAATGGTTTATTGTTAGATCATTATTTAAAGTATAACTCATACGATATGTTGTTAATTGATCATAAGAATAGATTATATCTGCTAGACAATGCAGGTTCTTTCTTGTCACAGTTACGAACATGTACAAATAATAATATTATTAGAAACTTTAATTTTAAGTCTAAAGTTTAGTAGTTTCGGTAACATTCGTAACTTGCAATACTAGCTAAATAAATAGTTTAAATTAACCATGGAATAGCAAACTTCTGCAACCTCTATAAAAGAACTATTAGAAAATAACAGCAGATTAATATCTTTGGATAATAATTGCATTTTGATGAATGAGAAAGCATCTACCTTCAATTCTCATTTAGCGTATTTGAGATGCAGAGATGGTTCCAAACAATTCTATACTTGTGATGTCATCGGGAAAATTTTGAACAAGAATGACGAAGTGCAATACTATGTTGTATAATTGGAGCTGGATAAGAGGATCATTAAGTCTAAGGAGGATGTGTTGTTATTTGATAGCATTCCACTGGAGGAATTGGAAGTGTATGATAAGACATGGAAACAAGTATAATGATGATATGATATAATTTTAATAAATAAAAATCATTATTAAAATATTACTGGGTCCAATTCTCTGTAATACCATAATGCTAAATAACGAATAATGAATAATGCTGCTCCCAAGCTTATAACAGCTGGACTGTTAAAGTTCAAAAGACTCACATATATCAAACTTAAAAATGTTATCACAGTTGCGGTTGGCATATCATATTTGCAGGCATCTACCCAAGAATAATATACAGCTGTGGCTAGAAATCCTGTGGCCACACTGACTACTCCTTGTTTAAATTTCGTCATATATACGTTAGTTTTGAAGTTGCCCCAATGAGGCAACAATCCCCAGATTTAGAGAATTGATGGCACAAAAATGGCTATCCAACAACACACTCCTCCAGAAAAGCCCATGCTGTGAGTTCCCAAAAATATAGCAAAATTCAAATATGGACCAGGTAAAGCAGCAGCCAGTCCAAATCCCAACCAAAATGCATCTTCGTTTATATATAAAGGATTAAGTACAGTTTCAGCATACATAAATGGCAATGTTATTGGAGTGCCTCCGATCATGAAAGTCCCTATATTATAAAAGGTTAGGGATATATCTAAGATCATTGATTAATAGGCTGAATTCAGATATAGCAATGCAAGTAGGATTATTGCATACAAATAAAATGATTTATTCCCCAATAAATAACTAATTTTATGGCTATTTTTGATATTAATTAATTTTGGATCGGTGATAATCACTGGAGTTACTGTTTGATCTTTTATAAAAGTTCTACGACCTGCTGTATTTTCTGCATCGTATTCCAACATTATGGCCAAGATTCCACCCATCATCATTGTTAAAATTAGCACATAAGATTATTGATATGCCACCAGAAGAACTGCACTTAATATCGACAGACTCAAGTGCACTCTATTCTTAATTGAATGCATAGCCATAGAAATCATTAACTATAATATTAAAGCCACTGTACTCGCTTTGATTCCTTGGATGGCTAAAAATATCAAAATGTTCAAATCTCTCGGATCAGGATACTTGCTGTATATGAAACTCAATATTGCTAACAATAAGGCTCCAGGTGTCGCAAATGCTACCAGTGCAACCACACCACCTTGAGCATTCTTCATTGCAATTGTACCTAAAGCTACCATCATCTATGAAGTTGTTGCTCCAGGGATGAAGTCTACTAGTGATATGATTTCCTCCAGTTGAGATTCCTATTATTATTAAATTTGTTTACTGTCACTGCCTGTGCTTTAGTCACGAATACATCCTTAAATTAGCCATATAGACTTGCATTAAGAGTTTTAATATCAAAAAGAGCAAAAGGGTATGCCAGATTGAATAATTCCTTATAAGTTAGAGTTCTAGATGCATCGATCAACAAAGAAAATTTAGCCTTAACTGGTTGAGTTCTCAAGGTTTACATTTCAATCATCTTAATAAATATTTATATCTCAATTATTAAACAATTTATGTAAAAACCAAATTTAATCAATTCTCCTTCTTCTCATACCTACTAAGATTCTACTAGTGAATCCCATCCCTTTTATTTGTCAAGTCAATTTAAAATTCAAAATCCCAAACTATTCCAATGCTCAATTTGCGATAAATCTCAACATTTTATTCCTTTCAATTTTATAGCTAAGTCTCCATATTTTAATGCATTTATCTCTTTATAATCAGTTCATCAATTAATCCTTTTCATAATAGTAAAATCGCTAAGTATTTTATAAACAGTGTTGTTTAAGAATAGATATAAAATTAATCCTTTTAATATAATTTAATCATAACTTATAATATCTTAACTAATCACCACATAACAAAATTATATTCGTATTCCCTTCTTTGATCAATAAAGGATTTTGTAAAAACACTTCGTAAGGTCTAATTATATTTTCATCTATTTGATCCGACTTGATTGATAAGTATTGAATTCTTAAAGGAGTATTCTCAACTACTTAATAAAATTTATTATTGGAATCAGTTATTTCCTCGCCTATTTACAAAAACACTTATTCTTTTTAATTCTAGTTTTTGTAGAATACATAAATCATATTTTCATATCTGATGAAAGACATTATTATTTGATTGAGGTTATGTTCTTAAATTTTACTACGACTTTAGAATTAACTTAATATTCTATATTGGTATTGTTGATTTGAGTTTTCTTCATCTTTATACTAATCAACTTTGATTTCTAGATTGCTTTCATTCTTGAGTGGCTCTTTAATCTTTATTAATTTTCCACTCTCGGTTGAAAATAAAATATTCTAATTGTCTGAAACCTCAAAACATGTGATTTTATCAACTTGATTATAAGCATCTTCCAATGAAGGGTGATAATTCAATACATTTAATTAGATATTTAAGTTATTCTATTAGTTTTCCCCCATAATCATTAAGCATTATTACAACCCATATGCATAACTGTGTTTGTCTACTTGTACCTTTAATCCCGCTGCTGCTTATTGATTTGCGTTATTTTGATTCTGTTCATTTTGATCTGGTATTAACAATCTACCTTATATTAATACGATTTCTTCTTTCATCTAGCTAGTCGACCTAAGATTAACAGTGTAATGGGAAAACACCAGATGACCATTCCAGATACATAGATTTTCGATGATGCTATCAAAGTAAAACCTTTTGATAACCTTACCATCGATAGTCTGAATTAAGAGCTACATGTCATCACCACAAGAACAGAGTTAGTTGTTAAAGTAAACCATTGATCTTACAGCGTCATTATGACTATGCAATTTTTTAGTTATTTATAAGACCTCAGATAAATTCAATATATATCTAATCTATTTTTTGATACCCTTCATCCAATATTTACCAGATATTTGATATCTAATTATTTGATTACTTTCATAACCAACAATCAAGTATGTTTAATTCTAGTTCAATTCAACATTAAGCAAACAAGTGATAAACTCATAAAGATTTTGTTAGTATGGTATAATAACATGACGTAAATCTAATTCATCCTTTGAAAAATTCAAATTGTGTTAATTCTCATTCCCTTAGTTTTCTTAAGCATTTGGATATTATGGCAATTGTTCAGGCTTTATTTGGACTGAGGAACTGCTTGACAATTGCATAGCATCAATATCCCACAGATAGATATTTTTATCAGCTCCTGCAGATACTAAAAAACACTTTTACTGTTTCGAACTCTAACCCCCTTATCTCTCTATTTTGCTTTACCACAGCTATCTTTTAACCTCCTACCATTAGTTTTCATCTAAATTGTGGTCTTTTTATTCATTGATTTCATGGCATTTCTCAAAACTTTCCTCCAACACAACGTTGTGGAGAGTAGCTGCAAACACATAGGAAGTATGTTTATTTAAATTATAGAGTAAAGGACCTATAAGTTGCTTATTTGAGGTTTGGAGAGACATTTAGTTTTTAAGTTTCTATGATTCAAGAACCTAATTCATATTAATTTTATTATTATATATATATTAATAAAATCATTCAGCATGCTATGATTAGCTAAATTTAATTACTTCTTCGTTTTACTATTATAATTGTTATTACTTATAGAGAGGTTCCCAAAAAGAATCCTAAAACTACCTTTGATTCTTTTCTTTTAGTTCAATGAGTTTCAACTGATTTTACCCAAAATCATTCACTTTGTATAACATTTCAATGGCAGGATCAGTAAAGAATTCTCTCTATAATTGAGCTATGATAGCCTCCATTCCACCTATGATGCCTCCAATAAGAATTATGGATAACCAGAAATGAGGAGTGCCAACCATAGTAAATGGGGTGTATTCCATCAAAGTTCCTGGCCAAAATTATGATATGATAACGTAGATGATGTAGAGTAATACAGATAGGAAAGTTATGCAAATAAAATTAAACCAAGTCCAATATTTGGTATGGATAGCTATCTTCAAGTCAGCAATCTTAATTATGAATGAAATATAATACCAAAATAATGCTAGAATACACAGTCAATGAAAATGCTGCCAATCCTCCAGGAAATCCATTATCTTCAACAATCTCATAATCCAAAATCCAAAGTATGAAAAAGAAGATTATCATACCGTGTACTAAACCATTAAATGCCCATAACGTATAGTTTGGAATGGTAAAAATACTTTTACTTTATCCCACAAAGTAAAGACTTGGAAATTTAACTTTAAGGTATTCTTCAAATTTTCTTTAAACAGATGCAACTTCCTCCTTCTCATCAAATTAAATATGTTGTCTGTAATTGATGTCTTAATCAAATGTACCTCTCATAATAAGTGGAAGTGCAGTGAATATTAAATTATAGAAGGTAATGTACCAGTCATCGAAAAACGATTGTCCAGAGAATGCACAAAAATATGAAAAGAAAAACTATGGAACAGTAAAGATCATGTTTTTGTAGAAGAAGTATAAAACCATCTCTGCAATTCTAATGTAATTCCAATGTCCATGAACCAACAACAATCTCCAAAGACATCTGAATTCTCCCAAAGCAAAATCACTACTTTGAACAGCCCTCATTCCTTCGTTTCCATACAAACCTACTCCGATATGAGCGGCTTGGATCATATTGACATCATTAGCACCATCTCCAATTGCTAAAGTAATTTTGTTGAGTCGATCTTTAATTAATCTTACCACATCAGCCTTCTGTTTCGGAGTGACTCTGCAACAAACAACGCTTTCACAATCTTTAGCCATGCTCACAAATGCTTAGGCTAATTCCTCATTATCAATTACAAATTATAGGGATTACCCTTCTACAACGAATGACTAAAGGTAAGAATGCAGTTAAATACTTTTTTTCTATTCTCTTTAATACAATGGTCATATGTTTCTTGAATATCTCCAATCTTTCTTTTGCAATCATCAACACTTAATTCAGACAATCTCATGACAGTGAAGTCACCTTAGATTAAACGACAACTTTTAGCTATGTTTTCTGCTGTTTCCAATTTATCACCAGTCAACATCCACACTTTAATATTAGCTTTTAACAAATCAGCGATTGTCTCTGGAACCAATGGTTATAACTTATCTTCCACAGCAGATGCTCCAAGAAGAGTTAAGTTTTGTTCTAAGTTATTGGTCAATTTTTCTAGGTTTCAATATATTTTGTATACCTAGTTCTTCTGCTCTGGTGTCGTTGTCGGGCAAATTGTTGTAGGCGTTGTCGAATTCTCTGTATTCATCATTTGATAATACTCTTATGGCCATTAATAAACATCTTAAACCAATTTTACTGAAATCATCTAGATAGTTTATAATTTGGTTAAGAAATATTTAATTTGGAGATAATCTTCCCTTAATAATATTATCAGCTCCTTTAATAAATAATTTTATAACTCCATTGTCATCAATAATGACACTCATTCTCTTACGTGTTGAATCAAATTCAAAGGATTTTAATAATTTAACTTTTTTATCCTTTCCCAAAATTATAAACTTTTATTCACTAGCAGAAGCACCAGTGAATTGAAAACCCATCCTAGCAGCTGCATCTACCAAAGTAATTTCATCTGGAGAGGGTCCTTAATAGTTAGCATTTTAATTTTTGTCATACTAAACTATACATTCATGAGCTGATGATAACAAGAAAAAATATTCTTCGATTAAATTTCTCTACTTTGAAATTTTGACTTATTATTTTCCATCTAATGACTAGACTATCAAATTGACTGGTTATTCTCCGGAGGACCCTTCTCCCTTAAGAATGGCACTTAATTCAAGATCTTGGAAATTAAACACCGAATGTTGGAAGACATCAGTTGCAGGATGAACTTTAGCGGTTTGCTGTCTTTTTAGATCTACATTTTATACTGGAATATTTGTGTGTTGTTGTTCCTGTCCATATAATGTGTTTCCTATTATACAATACTTAAATTCCATCTGATTACAAGTAAGAGTGCCAGTTTTGTCAGAAAAAATGTACTCTATTTATCCGAGTTCCTCGTTTATAGTGGTAGTTTACACCTTGGCAAACTTATCTCTTTATTAGACATACATCTCTTCATCCTATTCAATAAAGTACGCTTAAAACACCTTTACAAATTCCAGACTGACTATCAATGAGATTGGGATCATAGTATTATATAATAAAATGTAACTGAAAAATGCATAAAGAGCTTAGTAAATTAGGTTAGAAATCACCATAACCTAAATACCAACTGTCACTGCCATATTTGTGTAGCCAAGCAGAAGAAAAGGAGGCAGTGATGATTGACAATGAGATTTGAACTACCAATATTCCCAAAATCAAAATATTCATAATTCTCTCGATTTCACTTGTTTTAATTCTTGAAGCATCAGCATTCCTCATAATCTTAGTATCCTAACCTGTATAAACTACTAGCCCAATTACCCATTCAGTATTTCTAAGAAATGCGCCTCTGAGTAATAGTTGTTTAGCTGTTAATTAAAATTTCTTTTGCTAACCATTCCCCACACTTAAAAATAAAGACGCATCCAATTCATACAGATTCTAAGTGGGAACCTGTGCTTCCACCTTCACTTTCTCCTCTGTAAAATTACTCATATCTCGGTATAGCTATTAGCTCTCCAGAATTGCACTCTTCGGCTTCAAATTCTTCTCACCATCCAACGACGATGTTTCTATATAACATGCACCACTCTCTATAGAACTTCCCAAAACTATCAGATCTGCTGGAAAACTCTCATCCTATTTCACCAATACGAAATCTCCCACTGCTAGTTGAGCCCATGTAGATCTATGTCATATTAATTTCTATTTTACGTTGTCATTACGCGAGACTTCATTATCACACATTCTGTCGCATTCACTTCATTGTCAGATACGTGTCTCCCATAATCCTCCCAACCTTTCATATTAGTTTTCATTCTTACCTTCTCTCCCCATTGATAATCCTAACACAAATACTAACGGAGCTATTGCACTGAACGGATTCAGAGTTGATAATACTGGAATACACTGGATTATTGCAATGCACAAGAAATAAATGTTAGCATATCGAGTAAACTACAAAAGTAATGATTTTGGCAAGAAAGTTACTAAATTATATCTACATAACTCTAATATAATCTCTTACCGTGATGTCTTTATGAAGTTAGATGGAAATTATTCTAACTCTTCTAATGTTCTCTCACTCCTAAAATTTCCCTCAAATGAACGAGGCTGGTTCAAGACATCGGGTCTTTTAGACCAAAACATTTGATATTTGTTTATAAATAATATTTTGGAAATTTTCCAACATTCTAAATTTGTTATGTATATAAGCCTCAAAACTTTGGCAATGGAACTTCGTTGTCTAATTTGACAATCACTCTTCCTAAATTCTTACCCATGAACACCTTCTATAATCCAATAGTCACATTCTCTAATCCATTGATGAATTCCTCTTTGTGTCTATACATATAGGAATACATCATTACTAAATATGATTTCCTGTGACTAATTCATTCATCTCTTTGAATGATTCCATGATGGCATTCTTTTAACCAAAGTACAATATTCCTTCAGCCTTAATTTACTTTGTAATAAAGTGAGATAAATTTTTTAATCCTCCTCTATTCTTCCAAGTATAATATGTAGCAGTTGCTCCACATAATACAATGAAAGCACCCTTATTCATGGCTGGCAAGACGGCGTCTAAGACTTCCTCTCCTGAATTGTCATACATTGCGTCAATTCCCTCAGGAGCTGCTTACTTCATTAATTTTGTCAATTTGCTAAGAAGAAATAGGTTAATTAATATACTTTGTATCAACAATTCCATTAGAATCTAAAGTGTCATTGTAACAAACACAAGCATCAGCTCCTAGTGAAAGAACGAAGTCTTTCTTGTCTCTACTGCTAACGATTCCAACGGTTCTGTATCCCCAATATTTTCCTATTTATAGAGCAAAAGATCCTGTTGATCCTGCAGCAGATGAAACCACTAGAGTCTTCTTGGATTCTTTGGTTGGTAGATTTTCTTTAGGAATTTGATGCAATCCTTTGAGAGCAGTGATGCCTGTGACACCGTACCTAAATTATCACAATTAAAAATATACACAGACAAAAAGAGAGGCAAGTTTGGATCGTGTTTCGATTTGACTGCTGGCAATTTGAATATTGTATTGGCATTTCTAACACAATAGTCTGCACAATCCAAGGCTCCCAAGACTAAATCTCCTTTGTTAAATCTTTTGCTTTTTGATTCAGCAACAACTCCACATCCAAAGGCTGGGATGACTTGTCCTTGATGCACAGTATCGATGTAAGTCTTGGCTCCTGAAAACCATACTCTCATGACAGGATCGATGCTCACATAGCAAACTTTGATAAGAAGATCGTTTTCCTTAAGATTTGTGGGTATAGGAAAGTCCTTCAAATCAAAGAAGTCGATGTTCTTTGGAAAACTTTCGTCTGGATATCTGCGTAGAGTTACTCCTCTCATTTTAATAATATAAAATAAAGATTTAAACAAATTTTTTGAACATTGGGTTGCATTAATGTGTAATTTCACGATTTATAAATCAATAAATGATCGATTATGGAAAATATATAAATATTATAGGGTTTCATTTAGTTTTAGGTGAGTAGCCAGCAGGACTTTTGACTCCCGTAAGATTGGGTTCTTGATACATGGAAGAGTCTTGCTTTTCTAAGGAAATTTCTTTCATGCAGATATTCTCTGCTTCAATGAGTTCCAATTTCCTGAGGATTTTTTCCTTCATCAAAGCCATCTTACTGATTTGCGCATCTTCAGGGAGTTTCTAAATGATGATAATTAGTTTATCTAGTTTTTTAAGATGATAACTTTTAACTGTGTTGATCCTCTAAGAGATAGAAAAGAGTTCATACATTAGTAATATCTTGAGTCTCGCGTTGAAGATTTATGTTACGTTCCATCTAACGTCTGATCTCTTCTAAGAGTGATCTTTAGTTCGAATACAATTCTACAAGCTACTTGCGAAGTTTTTCGTGTTCATTGAGATAGGACTCCTATTCGAATTCTTTGGTTAAAGATTCCAAACTTTGCTTAATATCATCTTAATTTCTTCGTTTGATCTTCAATAGATTATTCCTAAAAATGTCACTCAAATTCGATACTTGAGACCTCTTTTGAACTGAGAATGTTGGAATTCGCTTTTACCATGTTTATTTTTAAGCTTCTTAAATCCATACATATTGAGTTATCTAACTCTATATCGATGATTAAATACCTCAGAAAGCTCTGATAATTGCGATGTTTGAAATATTAAGGCATTATTTCTTCTGTCAATAAGGATGAATCCAAAATCTAAAATGTAGTCCCATCTTTATTCCATCCAATTGCTGATTAGTCGGACTCAAAAATAACAAATTTTGTATTACTTCAAGTATTTCATATAATTTTTATAGAAATGATGGTATTTGTTTAATCTCTTGCATTTATTCTTTGATTTATTATTATTAAAGAATAAAATAAAATAAATGTAGCAATCTCAATTACTCACATTTGATGTATTCCGAGGCATTTCCCAATACTTGTCAATCAAGGATTTGCTAAATTTGCAGTCCGTTTCAATGCAAATGAAGGATAACGTGCAATTAGCACTTAAAGCACTCTTAGCAAGCATTGGATTCAATAATCCAAACACAACTACCCCATACAATATAATCTTTCGTACCATCTTTGGAAGAGAGACTTATTTCTGGTCATTTGATGAAAGTGTCAAGCCATTCAAAAGAAGACACATTCTAGGAATGCCAGTAAAATCAATTCAAATAGGACTAACCTATACTGGTATACTTACGATTCAAAATCGAATGTACATTTGCTTGTCACAGGAGTATCAAGAAGTCATCAATCAGAAACCTAAGTTTATTATTAAGTAAGATATTTAAATGCATATTTTTAAAAGATTTTAAGTGAAACAATACTCAGCAGCCAGCAAAGGAAAATTCATCTATTTGAAAGAGAATGGAGACCTAATTGTTATGTTCGATAATCAAGAAGAATATTTGATTTCTAAAAATGTGGAGCATTTTGAAACTTCTTATTATTAACTAGTTGCCATCTTCACCAATCCCTAAAAAATACCCTAATTACCCTCTGAATAAACTAGAGCCATTCTGTATCAATTGTAAGATCTAACACCTCATAATTGTGATCAAGCACAAAAATACAAACAAATTATCTTACCAGATAATGAAGTACCTAATAATAATATGATATTTAGATAATTACCTAAGTAGCCATTGGAAGCAGTGCAATTTATTATTTGACAAAAACATAAAAAGTATATTCTTCAGACACTAAGAATGAATAAGTAATTGACCCCATTATTAAAACTGTCCATCAAAATTATTTTGACAAACGGTCTATCATTTCTATTTATAGTGGTCTGAACTATTTCCTTGCACTCTCAAGAGAGAGTATTAAATCAATCAAGGAATGGACTAATGAAGAACTCCAAGTATGGCTAGCTAAAATTGGTTTTTCCGATTATGTCAATATTGTAAAGTACAATGAATTTACAGGATTGGAATTTTCAAAGTAAGCTGTTCTTTAAGATTTCTAAATAAACACTCTTGGACTCACTAATGCTGAATTATAGATTAAATTAAGCACTGAAATTACCAGATCCATGGAATTATAATATAAAGATTATTAACTATTTGGATGGGGTAAGAATGACTATGGACAATTGGCAGCTCCTCTATCTAACAACGTTCAATTTACAAAAGTAGCCTTACCTAATTTGGATGAAGACGATGAAATTATCTAGATTGAATGTGGATGGAAGAATGTAGCTATCTTAACACATTCAGGCAAGCTCTATTTGACTGAAAATCAATAAAAACAAATCAAAAGAGAAAAAGATATCTAATAATAATAACAACAACAATAATAATAGGATGAGGGAGGAAAGAAAAGAAAGAAAAGTAGACAAGAACCAAAGGACATTAAAGATCAGAAAGAATAAAAAGAACCAGAACAATAGCTATAATAATAATAGTAATCCAAGTATTGGAGTGACATTTCCAAAATCTTTATCAAATCTAAGTATAAGAAATTATAATTAATTATTTTAGTGATAAGAGAGAATACAGACACTATTATGTGAATCTAAGCAAAGATTACTTAGTTGTTGTTTGCTCTATTTTTGATAAAAAGACTATGCTCAACTATTTCCCAGAGATGTTAGAGCAAAAGGAAATGCAAAAGAAATTCAAGCCCACTCTTTAAGTCATCGATAGAATTCTTTGGGATACCAAATTTAATAAAGAGGACTTTATTGTTGGGTATGAAGATAGGTTCTTAGGAATTATGGAAGTTCCGTTTACAGACTTTATAATCAGTTAGGTTAAAAGTCATAGAGTTCAATATTTTAAATAAAAAGGTAAGATTGTATGGGATAGACCTCGCAGACTTGACTTATTATGAGTTATTTTAAACATACATTAAGTTAATTTATATATTGTAGAATTAAATTGTACATCAACATTCATCAATATTATTGAAATCTTGATCAGCTATAATTTTAGCGAGAGGTTCTATGAATTAGGCTGCCAACTTTTCAAGAGATGGGTGTCTAAATACATCCAGTAATAACTTTGTAATTACTTAATTCTCAGTTTCAAGAGATTAGACCTAAAGATATTTAATTTGAAATTTATACTTTCTTTTAAATTTTGTCATACTCATCTTATAAAGGACCTATCTTTTCTAATGCTTCTCTCTTCTTTTTTTAAGACTCCTTTGCTGAATTTCTATTTCTTCTTATGCTAGCTAATCTAAAGAACTAAGTACCATTAACATTTCTTGCAATTGCACTCTTCTTCACCATTATAAACACATTTATTTTTTAATTTTTCAATCATCTTTAAATAGTAATTTGAACTGTTTTTAACTGGCTACTATTCCTAAATTCCATTCTATACTAGATGATCTAAGTATTGACTCTCCAATAAAAATAACATGGGTAGAATGAATAATATTTGGCAATTCATCTACTTATGAATTTTTATTATGTTATTGCTAAATTACAATAAATCAAGATCATTGGATTCTTCGAAGAATAACTGCGTAGCTTTCTTCAAAAAGTCTTATGTAGTAGCTTTAAAACTTCCCATTATTAGTAAATACTATTGTTAGCAATCAAATTACCTCCTAAAATATCTGATCATTATGTAATTTTGAGGTCTATTTTACACTTTGAGCAACTAGATCCATAATCAAATTGCTTTTAGTGAAGAAATTATTCATAGAAACGGTGTATTAATTAAACTGTAATAGAAACATATCTTTAGTCATTTTCTGTTGTTGTTGACTGAGCATTTTGAATATAAAGGCTGTCCATACATCATCTTGGGTTTTCTTGAGCATCTGGTTAATCTGTGTGAATCCAATCTATTGACTAAATGTTTAACCTTGAGTAATTTAGTAACAATATAGAGTGTTGAAGAAAATGTCACAAAAGTCATCACGGAACAGCAAAAAATTGGTAAGATATTTTGTGCCTTAAATTAGTATTTAAGTGATTACATTAGTCATAGTACACTAATTATGAACGAAACAATAGTCCTATTGTCTAGAATAAAGAGCAGCTCATTGTAATTTTAAGTGGATTGGATTTGTATTGTGATATCATCTCTTACACAATTTCCTTTTCTCCAGGGCAATTTTCTAATCCATAAATGATGAGATTTCCCATTATTTGTAAAAAGTAGGGTAATTGCTATTCCAATACATTATTTAAATTGATTGTTTGTTTCTAAAGGATAATTTTCTAAAAGTATGATGTGACTTAATTTTAAACTTCAATTAAAGTAGGAGACTTGCTAAATGATTATTTGAATATTGTACGATGCTTGTTGAATTGGTTATTATTACTGTTGACATTGCTGGATGATGGAGAGAAGTTATTGTTTCTGCAAATACTAGACAAATAATTTGAAATATTGTACTTAAATATTTTGTTTCTAATTGTTCTCTTCCTATTTCACTTATTATTGTTTTTCATGTTACTATTGTTTCATAATACTCTGAATAAAGGCTTGTTAAATGTGATTCATTATTAATTTTAATAATGAAAGAATTAACAAGTCTAACTCTTAAGTTAAAACTGATACGTATTATCAACATTCAAAAAAAGAGCATGTTTGATTTAAATTATTAGTATTTCAGATATTTAGTTTACGCACCATAATTATTATATATATAAAAATCACAAATTAACTCCGATTTACAATTGTAAAGCAAAATGCTTATCTGTTAATTCATTTATAAGTGCAGCAACATCCTTATAAATAAATTATGCGCTATGCATGTGAATTTATTTTCCGATTGAAGTCAAAAAAAAACTATTTCTTTAATAATGCATTTAAATATGGCAAGCAATAATTAAAATATAAAATTGGAATAAACTTTTAAATTTATTGGTTTTTACCAAAAAATAGCTAATAGAATAGTTCTTCAGCACTATAAGAACAAAATTCAATTATGTCTTGCTCAATGCATTTTTAAATCTTTCTGAAATGGTTATTTATTATAAAATTAAATTTATATGTTTATTCTGAACATATAAAGTTAAAATTACAGAAATTTGCATCTCTTGTAATTACTAAGATTATAAAATTTAATATTGATAATTTTTAACCATTATTAAAAAAAGAGCAGAAATGGAATTAATGCTTGGAATAAAATTAATTCCAATCTTCATTTCGCTGTATATTATATGATGATGAATTTTAAATCAAAAATTAATCATTTTTGATAATAGATAATTACTTTGAATGAGACAATCTCAATCAATGTTCTCCAAATGCACTTAGAACATGAGACTCAGGAATCAAATGATTTTAATAGTTTCTATCTAAGCATTCATAATTATGTCCTATGTTTTGGCATACAATATGATTCATCTTTCTCTATTAAATGTATATTTTTCAGACACTTCCAACCATTTGTATAAGGATAGTTCGAATAGGATTCAATAAAATATAATAAAATTATATAGAAGCTACTTTGATAAAGTCTTCTATCTAAGTAATATAATAAATAATTAGATGGAAATACCTTAATCTCATTTCACAGGTTGTATCACCACACTAAAAAGTAAGTGGTGTTGTAAAATAACCTCACAATAAATGAGCAATTTTAAATGCCGTATGGTGGTATAAACCCAATCCCGGATCCGCTTCGAATAATTAAAGGATATGGAAACTTTGATATTTCTTATTGCTTTATGTGTTATTCAAACTTAAGTTCATACAGTCAACCGAAAACTATTGACGAATTAGTGGGAATAAAAATGTAAGAATAGGTTCAAGCTTACGGTTAATTATTGTACTAAGGGAAGGACATCAACCAATATTTCTTTTATTCCTATATTAAAAAGGAAAAAATAACCTCCATCTATCCTTGCTTAAATAGGGAATAAGGAATCTATAGTTACAAACCAGAGTAACGAGATTGGTATATTGAGTTGTAAAGGAATTATGATTAAACTGAAAATTACCAAAACTACAATTACACTTTTACAACTCCTTTTATGTGTACTATAGTTATATTACATTATTTAGTGTTTACGGAGAAAAAGATTGGTTTGTCTATGGCAATGCCTATTGTTGATGAATAAACTCAATTGATAGGCGGAGTGGGGTCAATATTCTTGGGAAATGAATTTGTTCAAGAGGTTGGGCAGAGTAAATTCGGGTTTTAAATAATATATCTAATTTCCAATGAAGGCATTATGATTATGCATCCTTACAAGGTGTCTAATGAATACCTCCCCTTGTACATATTCAACTAGACAATTACTGGATTCAATTAAACTGATTGGGAAGAGATGAAAAAACATAACGGATCTTCATCTTGCCCCAATTTTGATATATACAATTCCTCTATGTAATGTCGATATAATTCTGTGTATAATCAAGAGATGATTGTTGGTATACAAGAAATAGCTGAATTCAAGATGATTTTAATAACGTACAATGATTCTAAAAAGTTAGGTTGTTAAGTAGCCAAGAATACTTGGAGTTCTATTATAAATTTGAGTAGGAATTGTCAGAAAGCTTGCAAGAAACTTTATCCTTAAATATAACCACCTTATTAGCATTGCTGATACTGGTATGTCTCTGTATTTATGTTCTAATTCAAGTTCTCTTTTATCCAATTTATGTTGTGTAGGAATATGCAAAAAATATGATCTCATAAAAAAAGAAAAAGGACAAAACCATTCCAATATTTATTTAAAGATTTATGAGTAATTAGGTTCGCTAATTGCTCCAAACCTTTAAATTTATCGAAAACAAACTAGAGTTGTTATCGTTTCGGAAAACAGAGCAATGTGCATATTTTGAGAGTCTCCAATTTCCGCAAAAGAGCATATCATTCAAACTTCACCTATAATAATATCAGAATTTTCTTACGATTCACAAACTTAAAAAAATAAAACTATTGAAAATGCAAACCGATCAAAACTTCAATCAATCCAATGCCTAAATGTAGCATAAGCTTTATTTAAGGCAGATTCTATAGTTGGTTAAAAAAGCCAATTTATATCAATCCTCATGAAATTTTACTATTCTTATGCACAACAATTTGATTATATTTTCAAGCATTAAAATAAAATATTAGAATTAATTAGTATTTATCTATTTATATTAAATTTAACTGCTATGTATAAAAAGCATTCGACAGAAAAACTAGTTAGAAAAAATGCTTCTCCAACTCATGAAAAAGAGAATAACTCTTATGCTCGTAAATATAGTAGAAAACTATTGAGTAGATAAAGCAACAATGAAGAATATGAAAATGTCAAAGAAAATACATTAACAACTTATAACTCTAATACAAATTCAACAAATCAAAGTGAAAGTGTCACTCAACTCTAACAAATTATTTAGCAATAGAAACGATAAATCCAAAATCTGAAAATGGGTTGTCCTCGCTGTTTAACCAAATAAAACACAGATCTGGAATTGAGGAACAAAATTTTAGTTTAGAATAATCAAATTCTATCCTTGTTGTCAAGGGAAACACAGCAATCAGATTCAACAGAACTATACAAGATAAATTAGATGTTGTAATAATAGAATGAAGAATTAAAATTAAATAATGAAATTTTGATATAAAATCAATAGGAAATATTGCAAGAGAATTTGTTCTTGAAAAATTTTTTTGCTGAATCCAACAATATTACAAACGCAAAAGAAAATTCAAGCTGTAATTTATTCAATTATTGTTGATAGAATTATTTAGTCTCTCGTAATCCTAAGGAAGATTCTCATCCATTTTGTAGTTAAACTCATAAGTTCAATCTCCATCACATGCTAAATAACATCATGAGAAACTGTTTAACTTATTAAAATGAGTTCTGATTTTATTATCCATATATAATATTTTAATTTATTATGTTTTTTAAGTATTACTCTCTCATATTTTAGCTTTGCTCGTTTCTTTCCTCAGCAACAATAACTGGATTCCTTGTTAGCTGACCCTGATTGCGAATTAGAAACTATTTTATCCGCTGATAATATTTTATAAGAAATCAAAGGAGTTGGAGCCAATAAATTTGCTGATCAGTACATATTTAATAATGAATTATTTATAGCATAACCAAGCACCCAGAAATGTATTAGAGAATGATTCAATACGTAATTTCAGTCGATGATGAATTGATCGATAAAAAGACATAAATCTAGTATGACATAGCATTCTTATCAAAAGATACCCATTCTTATGCAGTGAAATTTTAGGCAGTTAAAATTAGAAGTTATTGGATTTTCTATTTGAAAGACCAGAGGAAGGAATAGAAGCAGATGCAGAAATGATTAGAGTCAACTTGTACGATCAATTGATTAGCTTTCTTGAAGCAGATGTATTCAATATGACATCGGCAGGCTATTTTTCTAAGGCATTCCTTGCGATTCTTAAGAAACGAGGATTTGATGTATCATTTATTCAAATTTTTAGGTTTGGACCCAAATTATTAATAATAAACAAATTTTATCTAATTTAATAAAACACATAGATTGTAAACACATTGCAGAAATCATCGAAAAATTAATAATTCTCGATACAACCCAAGAATTCACAGATGAGACATTTCTAAATGAAAGAAAGATCCTATTACAAAGAATTATAATATTAATGCAGAATAAATACTATTGTTCAGAGATCGTTGAAAACGTTTGCGATATTTTAATTGAAATCACCACTAAAAATATGAGTTGCTTATATTATAACAATCCTGATATTGTTCCATTTATAGATTAAATTACAAGACCAGAATTATTATTTGATATTGCAATGAAAACTTAAAAACCATAGCCAATTTAAGTTATCATCAATTTAGTGGAAATGTCTTCAAAAGAGTCCAAAAAAGAAGAAGATGATGAAGTCATTCATAATAATGAGAAGGACTTCTCAATATTTTAAAATATTGTCCCTGAACTACCTTAAAATTTATTAAGTAAAAGATATTGTGCTGCTAACTTCAAAAATTCTAATTAAGAATAAGTGTAACCATTTGGACTACATAAGATTATGCTATTAAAATTAATTTAAACTTTCGTTCAGTAATTAACTCATACTTATATTAATAGAACCAATGATATCACTGTCATTGAAGCTCTTCTAAATGCTGGTTTGATTTAAGTGTTAGAAACTATTTGTATTTAATATCCATCTAACAATCAAATTCACATTATCACAGAAAAGATCATAAAATGCATTCTGGATTTAAATGATGAAAAATTAACAGAAAATGTTAACTTTATATACTATTCTAGGTCTTTGAGTTTGGATCACTTATCGAATTTATTATTGGATATCATACAGAGTAGAATGATAAAAAGGGATATTTAGCTCTTTTGACCTCGCTATCTAATTATCTCCTTGAGAAATCTTACAACAAGACAATTCTATAATATTATCAAGACAGTATTATCTTAATTAATGGTAGATTAACAATGGATGGAATTTGTTAAAAATAGACTGACCAACATTAATCAAAAAGAAAAACCTTTTTTATGTAATGTGAATCCAAAGGCTAAATCAGAAGTGGCTGATGATCAGGAATCTGACATTATGCAGATTTTATAAGTAATTATTTTGATAAATCATATAGAAAGTCAATGACTCATAATATGGTTAGTAAAATTAAAGTGGATAACAATATTAAGAGAAGGAATCATAAAAAGTTGAATAAGAATTAGAGAATAATAATTAATAAGATGATGGAGGTCTAGATGATGATGAGAATATCTTGATGGATATGAATGATGATTAGGGTTGGAATGAAGATATACTTCAAACTAAAAAATAAAATCAAGATGATCAAGAATTGTAATCAACCTCAAATAATGATAAAGAATCCACTAATAAAGATGATAATATTTCTTCTTTATTTAATCACAGTCTATTTTGGAAGATTGAATATGACAATAGAGAAGCAGAAGAGATCCTTGATAATTATGCGTGATGATTTTGTTATTAATAATAGTATTGCAATTTAAAAACAATTCTATTTTCTGATTTATAATCTATAATTTAGAATCTAAAGTTACTTTCTTAATTATCGAAACTAGTGGGATTAGTCATAAGATTATTTTTAGATGCAAAAGTATGTTAGTTATTCCTTAATCTTTTGTAATTATTTTAATATAGATATATAATATATCATAAATTCAGGACTTGGTTTAATATAATTCTGAAAGATTAGGTGAAAATAAGAGGGATGGATAATCCATATATAAATTAATTAATGAAGTTATTTTTATTTTTAAATATCGTATAGAATAGTATAAATTTTATAAAAGTGTGTTTAAATCAATTAAATTTATCTCGTAAATTTG